TATTAGTGCTTTCATATCAAAGTATGATCATTTTAATTGTCTACTATTGCATCGGTTATATTTCTTTTACATCAAATACGTCATACTTCAAGATTTTAATTAGAATATTTAAATTACTTTTAATATTGCTGATATTTCCTGGCTCACCTTTACTCGATTGCTTATATGATTGCTCTCAATTATTATGTTTATCTGGTCACATTGAAAAAAATCCAGGTCCTATATCAGAATTACCCATATTATTTTCTAATATTAATAGTCTCAAAGCAAATAGTTTAGCACGTTTTGAAGCACTAAAGTTCAAAGTAAAAGAGCAACAAATTAAAGTTATTGCTCTATGTGAGGTGGGAAATTTGACAAATAGTGACATACAAAAAGATCTTAAAATTGACAATTTTGAACTTAAACATTACAGATCAAATAATCGAGGTCTTATATTATATGTTCATAATTCATTAGAAGCTGAAATAATTCATGATCTAATGAATGATACACTAGGAAATATTTGGTTAAATCTTAAAGTAAGTGGTAAACTATTCAATTATGGAGTATTTTATAGATCACCTTCACAAGATAAAATAAATAGACTAGACTATTTCAAATTACTTGGTAAAAACCTTGAGGATGCTCAGAAACTTCCTGGATCAACTGTAGTAAATGGAGATTTTAATGCACGTAATTCTTTTTGGTGGAAAGATGATAAAGTTGATGAAGCAGGGACTAACTTGCACAACATCTTATTTGATCTTAATTTTATACAACTTATAGATGAACCAACAAGAGTGCAGTCTCGTAACAACTTTATTACTAAATCATGTATAGACTTGTCTTTTACAGATAATATTAATATAATTTCTAATCATAAAGTTCTACCACCAGTAGGAAATACTGATCATTGCACTTTGTTAACATACCTAAAAACGAACATTATTAAAGAAACTCCAACCAAGAAAATCATTTGGCAACATGATAAACTTAATAAAACAATATTGAATCAAAGAATACTTAATTCAAACTGGGGAGAGATCTTAGAACTTCAAAATGTTCATATTTCCACTCATAGGTTTGTTGATACTTTGTTCAACATTTTTAAGGAAACAATTCCGCATAAAGAGGTTTTAATAAAAGAAAATGATCAGCCTTGGTTCAATTCTGATATAAAGAAGCAAATTAATAAACGAGATAGACTTCACCATAAATTTAAACATTCAAATGATTTAACCTTTCTTCAAAAATACAAAGAACAAAGCTTATGTGTTGTAAATATGATAAATGAAGCTAAGCGTAAACATATAGAATCAACATGTGGAACTTTATCAGATTTAAATAGAAACTCAACAGATTACTGGATACTTTTGAAGAAGCTACTTGGAAAGTCATTTAATGTGTCACTGCCTTATTTACATTTAGATAATCCTAAACTATCTGCGGGATCTTCTTCTGAGAAAGCTGAACTTTTTCTTAAATATTTTATTCAGAAGAACAATGTAGATCAAATACACGAACCATTACCAAATTTTCCATTAAGGTGTAATCTAAACTTGGAAGATATTTTTACTGATAAGAATGAGGTTTTAAAACTACTTCAACAACTTGATGCATCAAAGGGGGAGGGGACAGATAAAATAAATAATAGAATGCTAATTTTATCAGCTGAGACGATATGTGAACCATTGAGTTTGCTTTTTAACAACATTTTTATATCTCATTGTTTCCCGAAGATTTGGAAAGAGGGTATTATTGTTCCATTACACAAGAAAGGAGATAGATCTAAAGTTGTCAATTATAGACCAGTCACATTGTTAAATGCCTTATCTAAAGTTCTGGAAAAGATTATTTATGATAGAATTTTCAATCACATGATCCAAAATAACCTCTTTTACAGTTTTCAGTCAGGATTTCTTCCTAAGCATAATACCACTTCCCAACTTTCATATATTATTCATTGCATTCAAGAAGAATTGAATAATGGAAACAATGTAAGAACTATCTTTCTTGATTTAGCGTCCGCTTTTGACGTCGTTCCGCATCAATTACTATTACAAAAGATGAGATCTTATGGCATCAACAATAATCTCTTACTTTTAATGAATTCATATCTGTCACAAAGACAAGTGAAGGTTAAAGTAAATAATTCTTTCTCGAAATGGTCAGAACCTGATTTTATCAATGCTGGTGTGCCACAAGGCAGTGTATTAGGGCCGCTTATGTTTTTAATGTATATAAATGATCTACCTGATAATCTAAATTGTAAGACTTTCATTTATGCAGATGATACATCAATCTTCCTTCCTTACTCTAAGAAAAGCCCTTTACTCTCTCAAAATCTGCAAATTGACCTAAATACAATTAAAACCTGGGCTGATACCTGGCAAATGAAATTTAAGGCATCAAAAAGTGCTGACCTGACTTTTACATCACCTTTAACAAACCCTGTTAATGAACCTGTACTCTATTTGGGAGGTGACCCCATTCCTAAAACTATTAGTCATAAACACCTTGGTGTTATTTTAGATCATAAGCTTAATTTCAAGGAACATGTTAATGAGCTCACCAAGGAATTACAGACAATCTTAAATCCATTTAAACAATTAACTCACATTCTTCGTTCGAATCATTTGGAAACCATATATAATTCTTTTATTCTAAGTAAAATTGATTATGCTGATATAATTTATAATAGTGCTCCAAATATAGCTACCAGCAAACTTGAAAGACTGCATTATAATGCAGCTTGTCTAATTTCCGGTGCTCTGCATGGTTCAAGCACCTATAAGGTCTTGAAGACATTAAATTGGATTACTTTGTCTGAGAGAAGAAGAAGCCATCTTTGCTCATTTCTATTTAAAAGTAGAATCAATTTATCAGCTTCATATGTCACCGAATTATTTAATAAATACTTACATGAACCAAATAGAATTCTAAGGGCTGTCAGAGAGTATATTGTGCCTCTAAATATCAGCATTTCATTTAGAAAAACTACATATTTTGCTGCGATTGAAGAATGGAATGGTCTGCCTAATGATTTAAGAAATTGTAATAGAATATCAACTTTTAAAGGCAAACTTAGAAAGCATTTCGGGAATGAAAAATGTATAAATATAATAGCATCACTTGATATCACTAGAAAAACTGAAATTATATTTAACAGGTTAAAAGTAGACCTATTTCTAAAAAGTCAATTATTTGCTCATCACTTTACAAACATTGACTCACCAGCCTGTAACTGTGGTCTTGAAAATGAAACCCCTACTCATTTTTTCCTCAAATGCCCCCAATTTGTAAATGATAGAATCCAACTACTTATAGATCTCCATATTATTGGTTGTTTAGAAAAATTCTTAGATGCTAACTCTGTTAGCAAAGTAAATATGCTCTTGCATGGTAACAGTGAACTTAGTAATGAAGATAATACACTTCTGCTGAAAGCAACTTTAAAATTCCTACAAGCAACCAAGATTGACTAACATGTATATTACACCATCCCATAATTTACACCACTGCACACCTTTTTTTGTAAAGCATTCCAATATCAGCTTTAATTGTACTTTTTCCTTTTTGTTTATATATGAATAGTTACGAATAATTGTAACAAATTTGTATTGCATATAAGTGTATGGTATGTTTACTTCGAAGTTCAACACAAATGTTAAATTGATTAACCTTGTTGAATTTTCATTGTATGAAATTAAATGTTATAATATATGAACTTGAAATAAAAATGATTAATAAAAAAAATATCAAAATCAAGAGATTATTTATTTTGTACTTTTAGGGCAAAAGAAGCTGTTCTTTTCTCAAACATGTTGAAGAGTAACCTCACCCAGGACAAAATCAGGGAAACATTTGGTGGGACAGTAGGCAAACCAGTGCCTGATAAACAACCCTTGGTATCTATTCACCCTCAACAAAGACCTTCAACCCCACAACAGACAATCACACCATCTGGTACTGCTTCAGAACACCAAGGTTTTACTCACCAGGGGGCATTAGGTGTAACCACCCAGCCATTAGTCCTGCCACCTAGTGAACTGACACCAACTATAGTTCAGATTGTTCTTCCCGATAATGCTATCAAGCAACCAATGGTGCCATCTATAAATGTGAAGTTACCAGTGACTGGAGCAAGTATCCCTAATCAGGTCCCAGAGATAATAGAAACCAACCAGATTCTCCCAGTGTCAACGATTCCTCATATGATCCCCATTAATTCTGCAATTCCCTTTATAAGTGCAAATAAACAACCTCTCATCTCAGGTGAAACGATAGGTACACAGATTTTGAACTCAAATAACGTGAATCAATCTATGGTGGGAAATAATTTAGCTACTATCTCATCAGAAAGGACAGCAGTCTACAATACAGCTCTTCTACATCACAAAACAGCTCCGCTTGAACACAATGCTGCTATAATCGATCACAATGCAGCTATGATAGATCACACTACAGCTACACTACAGCCCAGTGCAGTTCACAATGCAGCTGTTAACGAATCAGTTTCTGAGACCATTGAATCTGTGGCTGATGTCAGAAATGTTATCTTCCCTTCTGGAGATGAGTCTGATATAGATGTAGTCTCCATAGATCCTGATGACAAAATTGAATTGAAAACTATGAAAAAAGATGAGTTGAAAGAGGGTTTAATATCTTCTGTTGCTGAAAGTCATACTGAAGAACAGAAATCGCCAGAAGCCATCAGTATAGGAGCAAATGATTCAATGGTTTCTGTGTCAACCAATGATTCAGTTGTCTCAAGATTAACTAATAGTAATAGTGACAATACAGACTCAACTCTGAAGTCAAGATCAAGCTCAGGAAGTAGTTCAACAATTGCTAATTCATCATCCCTCTCTGGAGAGAGCTCATCTACCAATAATGCATGCAATATATCATCCTTGTCAGGATGCAGTTCCAAGATGGGGAACAGTTCTTTGGTATCAGGATTCAATACATCCTCAATGTCTGGTCTGAATATCTCGGGTGTAAGTACAGATCTGCATAGCTCAACAGAGGGCAGCACAGTGCATGAGTCGGCCACAGATAGTAGTGTTGAGATGTCAGATACGGGGAATGTCAGTGGTGTAAGTTCTACAATGGGTCACAGTTCTAGCCAAGGAAGTAATATCCCTGATGTAAGCAGTTCAAATGTTGGTCTAAATTCAAGTGAAGAGAAGGATACAAGTGGGGGTTCAGATACTGGCACCAGCTTGATTGATGGAAGGAGAGGAGGTGACACAGGTTCTAATACAGGGCTTAGTTCTAGCATAGGGAGTACCCAGCCTGATATTGCACTCTCAGTCATTTCTCAGTCTACACCTACTAAACCTGCAGAGACTACGCAAAATGAACTAAATATATTATCTCCTTTAAAACATGATCAGAAAACACCACCTCCAAAAGTTGAAGTACTTATTATCACCCCAGAACAGAGGGATGCTAGAAAAAGACTACTTCCGAAACCTGTTGATGAATCTGAAAATTCTCGTCCAAAGGTTTCACCTTTTTTGCCAAAAGTACCAAAAGAGCCACCAGCTAAAAAGAAGAAATCAGTCGTTAGCAGTAGCCAAAAGAAGCCGATTCTTCCCAAATACAAAGACTTTAAGATCTACATTATGTCACCAACTAAAAAAGCAGCGGCTAGTATTAGTGCAAAGGCAAGAAAAAAGCTGCGCCGTTTAACGCCCAAACCAATGCCACTTGAAACAACTAAGAGAGAGCCTTGCATTATAAAGAAGATAGTGAAACAGCAGAGAAATGTATCAAAAAGACCACATAAACTTCGCCCAATTCAACCTAAACCACTTGATACAAATGAAGGAGATGAAGTTGAGATAACTGATGGATATCTTGAAGATGTTGGAGAAGATGATCCGTATCTTACAAGTGAATATGACACTCAAGATTCTGATGAGGATTTAGAACACCACGATGGAGAAAATGAAGACCAGAATATTTGTGATGATCACATGGACACAGTAGATGCTGATACTGCAGATGCTGATGAAGTAGATCCAGATGATGCTGATACCGCAGATGCTGATGAAGGGGATGGTGATACTGTTGATGCCGATGAGGGGGATGTTGATGTAGATACTGCAGATGAAGGTGACGTTGATGCTGATACAATGGATATTGATGTGACTGAAGACCAAGAAAACAAAGAAAATGAAGAGAAACCAAAGAGACGTAGGACAAGACGAGTCAGGAGACGACTTCCTTCACCAGATTCAACTACAGGTACTATGTCTTTTTAATCACATTCTTTTAATCAACTTTTATGTTTTCAAGAAATACGAGAAAAATAACATATCTTTTCTTCAGATAATGGCATTTCAAAATGATCCAGGGTACACTGGTATACAATCTGTACAATTTGTCAAAACAGTCATGTTAAAGATAAAATGCTTGAACTCATCTCTTACAAACAAAGTTAAAAGATTGATTGATTGAACTAAAGCTTAGTACACATTGGGCCAGATTGTGATGTCTTTTGAACTTTGATTTTGCACCACCTATAATGTTGATGTCATATTGGGTTTGAAACAGTTGTAATACCTTTCATTAAACCTCGGTAAGTTAACATGAAATCATTCAGCTAGGTATTTGAAAATTTTACCTGTTGTACAAAACAGATTTATTGATTTATATAATTATTTTCATAGTCCTTCCTTATGTAGTTTTTTTGAAGTTCTAATAGAATTAGTTTGAACTGTCAACTGTCAATAATTTTACCGCAAAAAATGTCAATTTTAAAACAGGTCTAACAGCGGTAAATATTTGAATATCAAAAATCTGAAATCATACGATTGTTAATCACTACAATGTTAATTTAGGCTCCAAATTTTAAAGAGATTGATAAGAAATGAAAATTTGGTAACAAGAAAAGTGTTCCACTTTGAATTCTAGACTAATTATGGCTCATTGCCATAACACGTTTGAAAAATGAGGCTTTTGTGTGTATATTGCTCCTCAAATTTGAAGACCTGATTCACCAATTGCCCCGTCGTGGTATGTTTCTTTCATATTTCAAAGCCTATATACCTGTTTTATCTAAGATTTATATCTAGGGTAGGGTATGTACATGTAATATGAAGATATTGGCATATGATTACAATTCACGTCATATGTTCTCCTCATCTGCCCTTTATAGCTTTTCTTTTGAGTAACATGAGTTTATTAGAAAGTTGTTATTCATAGTTATTTTGAATAGACAGAGAGAAGTAATTAATTTTTAAGCCCCTGATATAGGATTACCTATTGAATTTATCATCTTCAAGATGTGACTAGAAATGACATTAAGGATGGATTTATTTATTAATAGACTTGCTTTCTTATTCTTTTTATCCCAATGAACGAAGTTCGTTAGGGATATAGTGAAGCCCTCCGTCCGTCCGTCCGTCGGTCGGTCGGTCGGTCGGTCAGTCCGTCCGTCTGTCCGGAAGATAACTCAAATACTAGTTGACAGATTTTCTTCATATTTAGTGGAAAGATGTATATTGGTGAATAGTTTTACGCAAAAAAAATTTTGTTGAGATGGCCGCCGCTTTAAAAATGACGGGACTTTTTCGCAAAAATCATAAATTTTTCATTCTAAACCAAAGTAATTAATATTATTGTTTGAAATTTTGGTAGTGTATTCACAACATTTATCTATTTCAGATATATTCCGTGTTTTTCATCCTGACCCCCAGGGGCCATGTATGGGGGGACAGGAAACAGAAATTTTCGCTAATTTTTAGATCTTTCTGAAGTATAGCTTTATTATACTCAAATGAAAGGCAATTAAGAGTAGATTGCAAATATTGTATCTTTTTTCTGATTCGAGCGTTTTAAAATTCAAAATGGCCGTCTAATGTACGATTTCGCAATAATTTTTCGATCCCTTCAAAGTATGGCTATATTATACTCAAATTGAAGGAATTTTGGAGTAGATCACAATTATGGTATTATTTTTCAGATTTGTACCTCAGAAAATTCAAAATGGCTGCTTTGCAGGAATTCGCAATTCTAAAATCTAATTTTTTCATTTTCAACCAAAGTAATGAGTATAATTGATTGGAATTCGGTAATTGATATTTTGTTCGTTGGGATTTGCTACTCCGCGGAGTTGCCATTACCTAGTTAATATAGGAGTCATGAACATCATGCACTGCGTCAAATGTGAAATTCCAAGCAATTTCTAGACGTGCAAAGATAGTCTAGGAACTCCGCGTATCTAGAGATTCCAAGACGTGTCAAGAGGTGCAAAGACCTCGCGTGTAAAGAGCGTGTCAAGAGTTTTGATATCTCTTTGCACAGCCTTATCCACGGGGTACCATCGAATAATTTTGGCAACGTACCGGAGAACGACATTTTACTAAGAAATGGCAATAATTTAGCACAATATATTTTTTAACTAGAGTTCTACTTTGATTTTGACAAAAGTAAGTATTCCATGCAATGGCTATTTCATTCATGAGTTTGTAGGAATTCTGTTGGAACCCAGTTCTGATCAAGTACGAAGCTATTGAAATCGGCGCAGTCGGACTTTACTCCGAAAGATGGTTTTTCGATTATAACTTTTTACAACATTTAAGTATAGACTTTTGAAAAAAGTACAGAATAGTCCTTATACTATTGAATAATTCTGTTATTTCTGATTCACACGACTCTGATTTGTTTAATTAAAAAAAAAGTTTTAAAAATATTACTTAGGAACGTAACCGGAGCTGGGAACGTAACCGGAGCAGATCAGTTGAATTATATAATTTAAAAAAATAAAATATATGATTTAAAGCATATATATTAATAAATACGCATTCGAACAATCCCGTATGTTTTTAAATTAGTATATGTGCTTTAAATCATATATTTTAATTTTTTTGATTAAATAATTCAACTGATCTGCTCAGGTTACGTTCCTAGCTCCGGTTACGTTCCTAAGTAATATTTTTAAAACTTTTTTTTAAATTAAACAAATCAGAGTCGTGTGAATCAGAAATAGCAGAATTATTCAAAAGTATAAGGACTATTCTGTACTTTTTTCAAAAGTCTATACTTAAATGTTGTGAAAAGTTATAATCGAAAAACCATCTTTCGGAGTAAAGTCCGTCTGCGCCGATTTCAATAACTTCGTACTTGATCAGAACTGGGTTCCAACAGAATTCCTACAAACTCATGAATGAAATAGTTATTGCATGGAATACTTACTTTTGTCAAAATCAAAATAGAACTCTAGTTAAAAAATATATTGTGCTAAATTATTGCCATTTCTTAGTAAAATGTCGTTCTCCGGTACGTTGCCAAAATTATTCGATGGCACCCCGTGTTATCAAAACAAACAGTATAATTAGACCGGCCACATGTTGTTATGCCCTATAGTCGCGCTTAATTATACTTTACTAGGATTGGAATATAACAATCATTTTAATTTCGTGTTAATAATAATTTGTGTTTTTTAAATCATTATCAAAATAAAATTAATTTAAAAGTATGCGTGTGCGTGTAAGTATAGGCAATAGCTTAGTCGAAATGAGTAGATGTGTGCAGATGGAGATCGCCTATGTATTATGCTAAATCTGACATTTTTACAGGATCATGTTAAAGATCAAATGAAAACAAGAAATGTGTTTTTCTTAGGTTTATCTACCCTGATTTCGAGTGATTTTAACTTGGACGCATATTCCTAGATATTAAAACAGTTTGAATGATGAACAAAGTCCACTTTGAACCGTGTCAATCAAATTGTCAAATATGTAGATAGCACATGCAGGCCCGAATACAGGGGGGATATATTGGTTCTAGCGACCCCCCCCCCCTCCGTGACCAAAATTGCATTTTTTACCCCATACTGAGCACCTTTTAAATTATTTTGCTCATTTTTGAACTAACATTGCCAAAAGTAAACTCCCCTGGAATTTCTTAAAAAAGTAACCCACCCCTTGGCAAATCCTGGCTATGGGTCTGAAACGCCTGAAACATGCTCTGATATAATGAGGCATATTCTGTGATCTGAGCATATCAGATGGGAAGAGTTATGAATGTCAATAAGTGTGATTGTTATCATGTAATCATCTACCTTAATGTCAATACATTACATAATGTAGTAAGGCATTGTACATGTATTTAACAACAGGCACATCCTTCTTCAAAGGACTTCATTTATACTTGTAAAATACCCTTCCATCGAGGATGCAACAGGCACAGTTACACAAGTTTTATGACCCCAATTAGATGAAATATGAGCTGGGATGAAAGATCTCAAAAATCAAGGGCTGGGAAGATTTGAGATGTCATGGTTTACTATCATGACGCTGAAACATGTGTCGCTTATTGTCACCTGTATTGATCATGATGGGGCGACGGCAGTGCCCAGAGTCTTTTTGATCTGTTTAATCTTATTAGTTACTATTTAAAATAGAATAATTTAGGACCCCGGAAGCAAAACAACTCTTTGTTATGAAAGGAATACACCATGGACAGAACCCCTCATGTAAACCATCTATAAATACCTTTGAAATCAATTTGATTTTCGATCTACATCTGAATCTCAGATGGAGAGTACTCTTTGACAAGATCAACATTTAAAAGTGTAGGAAAGTTTTGATAAAGATGTTTAATAGCTAATTATTCAGACATATTGTTCTTTCATGTTGACGATCATCGAACATAATTGCAATCAACTTCCATGATATTTGCAATTTTGAATTTTGAATTATTTTGAATGCAAATGTACTCAAGTACTATATCCTGAGTTCTGCCCGGATCCCCGAAAACGTTTAAAATCAAACTCGATTATTTAGCTAGACTTCAAAATAAGGGATTCAATAGAAACATGAAATCCATATCACTGTATAAATTGTGGAATTTCTAGTAATTTTAAGACATGCTTAGCCGGTCTAGAAACTCTGCGTATCTAGAGATAGAGGAGGGGAGAGAGGGCTAATTTTATAGCTGAAATTAAAAATAGCTTATGATCTATAAATATAATATATGGTTGTTCTTATAATGAACAACTATTGGTTTAATATCTGATATGTGGACGGATATTTCTTGATTTGGTTTAAAAAGAAACTGAATGTAGGGTTGCAAAAATGAGAGAGACAAAGACGTTCGAAGGGTGGGGGTAAAATTTAATTAAAATCAAGCTGAGACAGAATGAGAATAAACATATCTGTTAGTTGCTCATGTAAACGAAAACAAATTAGAGGGTTCATTAGCACCGCAGACCAGATTTGCAAAATTGGGGGAGTGCATTTTCCCAGGATTTCAAACAATACTATATCTAAAATGTTGCCCCTCATATGCCTGGGTCATATTTGCTCCGATTCATCGGCCGGGGGCCGGCCGATTGAGTGTTTTTTCAAACATGAAAACAATTTTAAACAAAATATTCAATCGGCCGGAGGCCGGACGATGAATTTGAGCAAATGTGAACCAGACATTGCAAATTCCTTCAAAATTGAACTAGAAGTTTCAAATGAAAGCCATTCAAAGCTCATTTCTTCTTCCTTCTCTATTGGTTAAGCAGGGGGGGGGGGGGGTGCGATCATTCACGAATCGCACCCCCCCCCCTGGTTACGCCTATGTGTTAAAACTTTACACAATATCAATATTTAAAACTGTATCTTGTAAGCGGCTTATTAAGCATCAGATCAATCACTAAGAACCCCTCTTATCTGCCGTTTGCGTTTGGAAGGATAAAGACAAAGGGGGCGCGGCTACATGTATATCGCGATAACGTGAAATCTTTATGACATATCCCTACACCAATATATATTCTTAACACCACTTATTAAAGGATGCATGCATCAAGGGGTAGACATCATTCAAAAGACATAAACATGACCGGGAAGGTTTGCATACGATGCAATTTGTACATGCAAGCTCATTTTTCACATATAAATTAATAAAGTCGATTCCTTGGGAATACATTATTGGGTTTATAAGCGTAACGAGGAGAAGCGGTGGGTTCGCACCCCCTCCTACAAGCAATAAAAGGTACCATAAGGTAGAGGAAGAAAAGAGCATTAAATTGATTTTTTGTTTGAAGCTTCCAGCTCAGGTTTGAAGGAAGTTGCATCATTTTTGTAAAAATTCAAAACAAATATTTTTTGCCTCATTTATGTCACGATCGCACCCCCCGACTGAAAACCTAAAATATTTTGGTGATTGCATCACCCCTCCCCCCGACTGAAAGCTGGCTACGGCCCTGGGGTTTTATCGAAAACTATATCGTCAACATTTTATCATTATGCGGAAAGTCCAATATGAAATCTTAAATGGTAAATATGTTGCTTTTATGGAGGGAATTCCACTGTAAACTATAATGTGAATGTTTGATATGAATACTTCCATACAACCATCAATATCCATTCTTTTGAAATAAGATGTTACAACAAAGGGAATATTGAAAACTACAGTGGTAAGAGCATCTTTCTGACTGCTAATTATGTGTATCAACATTTTGATTTGGCTTTTTGGGGTTTATTTTAGTTTGTATGAGAACACATTTAATGCCACCCCCCCCCCCCCAAATTACAAATCTACATCTATTCTCTCTATCCAAAAGGTGGATCGGAAGCATGAAAAACAGATGCAGACTCGGGACAGTTGCAAGGGGGGCTATAATGGAGAAATTCGTTTTGATTTTGAGTCTAACTGAAATATTTTGTCACAAATATTAATTAAATACGCAAATAGCCTGTTTTATTAAATGAGACTAGGGCAAAGAATCTATTCATTAAATCTAAAGCCTAGACGATATCTTCTGTAATCAAGGTGGTTTTGGTACACTTCCGCAATTATAAAAACAAAAACATAGACTAAGTTATTAATCTTTTGTTATCATATCAGATTAAGTCAGTTTTGTCTCCGATTGTTATGCAGGTGTGTGTATCGACTCCAGTGAACAACATTAAGTGAATCAATCCTTGAAATTCCCAAATTCATTCCAAATTCTGGCCGTTAACCCCCCCCCTCCCCCATGTCTCTTAATTACATTTATTTTGCAAATGATATATAAATTATAGATTAAAATATTTCATTTTCGAATTGCACAAAGGGCAACATGTGAAGATAAAACCGCGATCCTAAAGCTACTTGCGAAACAAAGTGGTTTATGGTCCCCAATATCATTATTTTATTAATACCAATACAATGTACCTCTATGAATATCATAAATTCACTCCTTTTTAATATCAATAGTCAAACAAATTAAGCAGTATGCTACAGTTGGTTATCAATCGGAGTTCACGACCTATTGATTACTTTTTAATACTAAATTTAACCATTTTAGAATGGGTAACTCACACCCCCCCCGTCCATGTCCATGAAGTGCGTAGACTGACATAATAGTGTCATTTATTAATTAAACATCACTGATTTATGTTGAGACATTCAGTGCGATTATTTCATTTCTTTGTTCAAAAAGTTAAAGCACCAATTAAATACATATTTTTATCACACAAAAGGGGCAGAATACTTGACCTTGTATCAATTCATATCCCGATAATTCTTTACAAAGGAATGTTTCTTATTAAAACATAAGCAGCGCCTAGGCGTCGATTGGGGGGGGGGGTCAATCCAGTGTTATCAGGCTATGTACAGCCAAGTATCCTGTTTATGTAAAAACCTTACGTTCCCGAATCACAATCAGACAATTAATTAGTATATTTGCTGTGTCTAGCAATTGATCATAGAATTAGATGTTGCGAAAACTATGGGAACTTGTACCTGTCTGTTTATGGATAGGCTGGGAAAGAACAGCAGAGAGAATGGTACATTCGATTGAATATGCTTGTTTTGCACAATTGTGTATTAAAATGCCCCTCATTTATCATATGTATGGTCACAAGTTAAGTCGGCGATAATTTGTATTGACTTAACTTGAAACAAATTACTCCGAAATCCAAATACTCATCGAAAAGTAGGGTTATCTTTATATTAAGCTAATACAAAATAAATATATAAATAGGCCTGATGTATCAGTGTTTTCAAAGTTTATTGCACGTTTTATCCTTGAAACGCCTTTCTTTTTCTTATCATGATATGTATTTCCTTCACTTAGGATCAACCTTCACGACCTATTGATTACTTTTTAATACTAAATTTAACCATTTTAGAATGGAATGTATGGTCACAAGTTAAGTCGGCGATAATTTGTATTGACTTAACTTGAAACAAATTACTCCGAAATCCAAATACTCATCGAAAAGTAGGGTTATCTTTATATTAAGCTAATACAAAATAAATATATAAATAGGCCTGATGTATCAGTGTTTTCAAAGTTTATTGCACGTTTTATCCTTGAAACGCCTTTCTTTTTCTTATCATGATATGTATTTCCTTCACTTAGGATCAATGCGTCGATTAGCATTGCCTGTAACTGATTTATATTTTCAAAAGGCGGCATGAAATTGCCAAAATGTTTAAATAAGTCAATGTGTCAGCGTACATACAAAATAGTCTGTTTAATATTTGCTACATGTACTTGTTCCAAACAGTCTGCGAAAGAATGATTAAAAAATATATCAATTAAAAGTATCAGAGAAAATACTTGCAATCGTTAAAATACTGTATGTATTGCTATTGGTAATTAGGTTAGTTGTTTACACATAATTATGTTGTTCAGTGTGCCAAGAGCGTGTCAAGAGATTCCATTAATTGTCACAGGGCGTGTAAAGACTTTTTGACATGGTCTTTACACGTCTTTGCACTGCGTGTGCCAAGAAGTGCAAAGAGGTGTAAAGAGTTGAATTCATCGCGTGTCAAGAGGTGTAAATAATTGGCACGTCTAGAAACCCGGCGTGTAAAGACCAGTTTCTAGACGTGTCAAGAGTTGGAATCCCATATTTCACGCAGTGATGGTGCGATGACTCTAATGTCTCACACATTGAGAATATATTATGATTTATATTATATACATTCGTTTTTATTCTGAATGATGCTTACTTTTCAACTTACATGTTCAAACTTACATATACCAACCTGACATCTTTGTATAAAACTACACGTATGAGTGATTTCCGTCATGCGCATCGTGCAGTTACAAAATTGCGCTATTAGAAAATTTTCAATTTAAATACATATGATAAGTTTTATACTCTCTTAAAAACCCATGGTTTTTTCTCCCCATTGTAAACAGTATATCAGAAATGTGGTATATTTCAAAGTTATATCCGATATTTTATATTTTTTATATACTGTATTCCACATGTTGAACATTTTATGTGTAAATAACTCATGTTTTTTTAATTATTTATTCTAGATGCTGGACATTATGAAGCAGATGGGAGTCAGAATGAAGATGAGGGAGATGATGAAGATCACATGGCAACCTTGATGGCAGCAAGCAGCACTATCAGGTACAGAAATATAGGGGTTGTCTCATAACTTAAATCACGAATGGAAGCAGATAATCTAGGGATTGTCTCATAAATTATATCATCCATGGAAGCAGATAATCTAGGGGTTGTCACATAAATTATATCACCCATGGAAGCAGATTTAAAAGTGCAATGCTTTATCATAAATAAAATGATTCAACCCTTTCCCGATGTGAAAATAAGAGGAAAATAATGGCCTGTTGACGGATAAGTAAGAGCGATTTTTAGGAAAAAACTGCATAATACTTATACCCCGGAACCTATGCTTCAAATTTTATCACTGAAATACAATTTGTAGTAGGAATTAACACATTTCAACAACTTGTCAAAATTTGGTGTAAATATACTGTATAGAAATGGTGTATATAAATAAAAATAATGGTGCCAAAAGGAGCCTATCATCCTGAAAGGTATTACATAATTGAACTTCATATGGAGCCTTTTGTTGTGAAAGGGTTAAAAATGCAACGCTTTATCAAAAAATGAAAATGCAAGCAAAATGCTGGTTTTATTGTTCCAGGTTTGATCCTACTAGGAATGAGCCTAAGAAATACAAGGGTAGGAAGGAGAAATTGTTGCAGAGAATGTATGATGAAAACATTGTATCTACAGACCCCAAGGTGAATACTTCAATCTAAACTGCATCTCATTAATATTATATTATTACCAGAAGTGGTGACATTGATATAGTCTCCAATATGTTGTGTACATTGTTTGTCATGCGATGTCTGTAACAAATTATGGTATCTGTAACAAATGGTAGGTGGTGACAACAATGACTGTAAAGTTATCTTTACAGGCTACAATCAGTGTTGATGACAAACTGATGATTTTATCTTATAGTATATGACATTGTGTTATAGAGAGATGATAAAGACACCCTGGTGGCCCAGGCTTTCTTGACAAAGGCTCTCCAGTTGCTGAAGGGAGACATAGGCCGCTATATGGACATATTGAAACTGTTAATGGAGGAGAAAGATGTCACAATGGTAGGTGAAGATACGGGCAAATCAATCTTGGGAATACCTCTAAAAGATGTATGGAAGTAGATTTTTTCTATATCTTTTATCTGTGTTATAGACTTTGAAAAAGTACTATATTGTTTCTTGTGCTGCTGGGGAGGCACTACATAAATCTTGCCATCAAAATTTTGTTCAACTTTGAACTTTTAGAGTTGCAGAAGCAGACAGTTTCAAGATCTGATTAGGTTTTGGGAATGCTGGGTAAATTACATGGTGGCCATTTGTTTTTATCATACCTTAAAAGTTACGATATTGTTGTCAGCTTGGCGGGCGGGTTTCTCAGTTTTTTGTCATCATGATGCTAGGAAAACCACTTCATAGCTGTACTAATTATATCCATGATTTCAGCTTTACAAAGGTATGGCTGAATTACTGAAAGACTACCCACAGCTACTGGAGCAATTCTCAGACTTTCTCAGTCCAGACCAGGCCTGGGCTTGTGGCTGTCTAACTCAGAATTTAGCCTATAGCAGGGCTAGGAGGTTCCTTAGAAAGCTAGAGGTACGTAGAGCTGCTCAAATACATGCAAGCATATCGGAGATTTCATCTTCTAAGAATTGAATGCAGATTTTAGAGTCACTACTCCCACTGAATACCCAAATTAGAATTCTTTGATCCCATTCAATAATAATGTATATGGTGCTATAACTCAACACTTTTTTGATGGGTTTATGTATGACCACCAAATACACCAAATATTACTGAATAAAAGTGTCGGCTCTCGGATGATGCCTCATGAAATTTCACACACCGCACTTTCCTAAGCACTGAATTTGACTCAAATCATGAAATAACTTCTCATTGTAGATATTCTGTGGAACTACAAACTCCACCAACTTCCACCGTATCAAGCACACCATGATGCAATGGGAGAATCAAGGGAGCAATGATGTACAGGAGCTCAAGAGACTGGTGGTTCCTCTGTTGAGAGGACAGCAACATCTCCTTCAGGAGTTTTCTCAGTTCTTTCCTCAGGATAAACCACCAGAGAGGTTAGTAAGTTTAGTGCACATTTAATTGCAGCATTCTGGGTAGGGTCTAGGGTATATCCCTGAATAAATCATCAGCCCTCTCCAATGTGTTTATGGAAGAAGGGAATTATACTTTCGCTAATTAAGGGGACTCTTATGTCCAATAATAATAAAAAGTTTTCCTTGGACCCAGTTTTGGGTCACCCTTTATAGTGCACTAGAAATAGTTAATATACATTTTCTTTTCTGACAATGTTCTATGTTTGAGTTCATGAATTGATTTATTCACCAAAAACCAAACAGAAATGATCATGTGTTTGCTTCCATTACCAAACTCTGAAGATTCTGATGAGGATGACTCTCATAAGTTTGATGGATTTATATGCATATTTATTGAACATCCCTTGTACTTCCAGTAAGCTGAATGATTGTTATAGAGAAGTTGTGCTGAATGATTCTGATGAGGACGATTCTCATAAGTTTGATGGATTTATATGCATATTTATTGAACATCCCTTGTACTTCCAGTAAGCTGAATGATTGTTATAGAGAAGTTGTGCTGAATGATTCTGATGAGGACGATCCTTATAAGTTTGGTGGATTTATATGCATATTTATTGAACATCCCTTGTACTTCCAGTAAGCTGAATGATTGTTATGAAGAAGTTGTGCTGAATGATTCTGATGAGGACGATTCTCATAAGTTTGATGGATTTATATGCATATTTATTGAACATCCCTTGTACTTCCAGTAAGCTGAATGATTGTTATAGAGAAGTTGTGCTGAATGATTCTGATGAGGACGATCCTTATAAGTTTGGTGGATTTATATGCATATTTATTGAACATCCCTTGTACTTCCAGTAAGCTGAATGATTGTTATAGAGAAGTTGTGCTGAATGATTCTGATGAGGACGATCCTTATAAGTTTGGTGGATTTATATGCATATTTATTGAACATCCCTTGTACTTCCAGTAAGCTGAATGATTGTTATGAAGAAGTTGTGCTGAATGATTCTGATGAGGACGATTCTCATAAGTTTGATGGATTTATATGCATATTTATTGAACATCCCTTGTACTTCCAGTAAGCTGAATGATTGTTATAGAGAAGTTGTGCTGAATGATTCTGATGAGGACGATCCTTATAAGTTTGGTGGATTTATATGCATATTTATTGAACATCCCTTGTACTTCCAGTAAGCTGAATGATTGTTATGAAGAGGTTGTGCTGAATGATTCTGATGAGGATGATTCTCATAAGTTTGATGGATTTGAGGAGTTGACTCTACCAGAGACCAACAAGGACAAATCATATGGGAGCAGAAGGTAATTAGATTAGAAACATTGATTATGCAGTGTCTATGGCTTATACATTTGTTTATTTTTTTTTCATATATTTTTGTAACAACTTATCTCATTGATTGTTATCCACACAAAGTCAAAAATCATCTGTATTAGTGAAACACCTTTAGAAGCTCAAGGTAGCTTTCCACTTATGTCTCATTCAAAGTTAGTAACCTTGTAACATGCATGTGCAGTAGAATCTGCACCTGTGTTTAGTGAACACCATTTCAAGTGACTTTCAACATTGACTCCTGTATAAAATCCCCTCTTGGTAGTGAACACCTTCCTACAGTGAACACTTTTTTTTGCAGCTCCATAGGTATTCGCTATAAACAGGTTTTACTGTGCATGTGCATATATAATATACGAGGGTTGTCCCAGAAGTAATGCACTATATGCTCTAACTTTATCAATATTTGATATTTTTCCAGGAAATTTTCAGTAAATGTTCCTTAGAGACATTTTGATTATTCTAAGAATTTTCATGTTGACTGATAAAACTATATTGATGTTATAATAAAATCAAGTTGGTGAGTTTGGGTAGGGCGGGGCAGGTTATACAGTCACGTCAAAAGGAATAAAAATTGAAAAATATGAAATAATTAATCAACAAATACCATTTGGTGTAGCTATAAGATGTATGCTCAAAAATACATTTTAAGGTACTAAATTACTATGAGCACATCCTAGATTTAATAGATGTATATTGCACAGTGTCGCATTTCACATTTTCTCAAAATATTGCCTTTTGCATGTTATGTACTTTTGATGCCTGTCAGGTCAAACACTCTCAGCAATATCTTCCACTGTGACTTGTGGAGTTTTTGCCTCCCATGTTTGGAGTTGTCATACAGGGTCAAATCGTCTCTTTTAAATCTCTTCTGCCACCCTATAATTGTAGTTCTATCTGGTATGTACTCCTTATATTCTTTCTTCATGGAAGCATTGTTTTGCATGGCTGTGAGTCCAAGTGAAGTATGAAATTAGGCCACCAAACGCAAGGCCTTCTGTTATCAGGTGAGAATTGCAGCCATTTTTGCAATTTCTTGACTGTGACTGTATTTGAATTTGTGACTATTGAAATGTGGTGTTATGACATCACAGTGCTAAATATCATTATTTGTACTTTGTTAACATCATGCTGAATAAATTTAACAATTTTCCAAACATTTTGACCATTTAAAGGAAAGAAATATTAGTAAAATAACACTTTAGATCTTTTCATAATTAGAAAAATTGGTACCTGCCCCGCCCACCCCTACCCCCATGTTGTTATATCAACCATATTAAGACTTAATATTATTGTTGGATGCTGAAACTTCAGGATATAATAGCTAAAACTTCAATTGTTATATACACAAAATTTCAGCTGAATTGAAGAATATTAAAGAAAGTTAGAGCATATAGTGCATTACTTCTGGGACAACCCTCGTATATACATATAATAGGAATCATTTATTTATCAATTCCAGGTGCCATTGTCCCTGCCATTTTGGAAACAAAATCTCCAAAGAGTTTAAGAAAAGGAGAAAGCACTGCTACAATTGTTCTATGAAGGTATGTTATACATTAAATATACAGTAAATAGATATTTTCAATAAATCAGGACCCGTTTTGGTGAACCAAGGAAATTAGGGTATATGGATTAGTTTTATGGTGTCATACTTTGCAGGGAGCAATGTTTGGGAAAAAATTTTGAAAGTAAGTTATAAGTAAAATCCTATTTCTACCCTGAAACTGTGAGAATGGTATCAAAACCAAAAACTGGTAGGATTTATTGGATTGGTTTATTGAAGACCTGTACATCCGAACATCTGGTTAATCTAAACACCTCCCAATCTAAACACATTTTTTCGGTCCCATTCTTTCCTCCCATTGACTCCCAAGAAAATTGGAAATATTTTACAAGTTAAAAAATGACCTCTTTGAAGTTTACATATGTGAATCTCATGATCAAATACAAAAACGATTTGCAAATAACCTTCACAAAAAATCACAAAATTGTAAAACTGCCACCAATGTTTCTAATTTTGGCAGTCTATGTGTTGTATATTTGAATGTATTAACAGGAATAAAGAAGAAAATTAAATTGTAGAAGACTAACAATGTATAATGAATGACTTTGGAACACTTTTAGCAACATTTATGAAATATAGCTATCAAGTAAGGGTAAGGGGGAAGTTCAAATGAGTTCAAATGATCCTACATTGAACTTTTGATCATGCTCTTATATTCAGATAATTGGTTCAGGACCATTATGAGAATATGATTATGGTCAGAATCAGAATTAAATGGTGTACCTGTATATTGTGATGACGTAATTGTGAAGAAAACAACGTTGACTCAGTTTACCTCATAAAGATATATGAATATATCATAACTTGTTATCTCAAACAATTTATTCATTTTAAACACTTTTAAACATAATACAGATAATGGGAGGCAAGATTTACATCCAACAAGGGAAGACATTGCATCAGGCTGAAGTTGTATACCGCGACCCCCTCCCACCACACTCCCCTGTCAGTACACAACCAGGGAGCCCTCTAGGGGAAGATGAAGACACTATGGACAGCGTTTTGTCGAAAGATTCTCAAGTTAGTAATATATTACGATTTTATTCCATATCAATCTGTATAATATATAGAGGTTGTTCAATGGGAGGGATGGAATATGAATTTTGTTCTGAGGGAAAATATGATATTGACCAAGGAAAATATCATATTGACCGAGGGCGTTACCCAGTGATGGTGAGATTAAATATTTATTTTATTGAATGACATTTCCAACTTTTATTAATATAACAAGTTTTAAAATAAAATTTATTTATAATACTAAATTGGATCATGATATGCCATATAAATCTCATGCAATTTTCTGATAGTTGTGATACAGGATCTGATATAGGATTTTTGCTGATACGGGATTTTTGCTGATACAGGATTTTTTGAATATCAGTTTTATTTCCCAGGGAAAGCAAGTCATTATGGAATAAATAGAGATTATTTACTGGGAGGGACTCAATATGTGTTTTATTCCGAGGGACAATACGATATTTCCTGAAGGGCCAGAGGGAAATATCATATTGTCACGAGGAATAAACCCATATTGAAAACCAACCAGTAAATAAGCCCAATAAGCCTAAGTTCTAGGCCTGATACTTTTGGAAGGTTTTTCGATAATTCTTGTCATTGCAATTTCAGAAAAACTGCTCATCAGATTTCCCCCAAATTCGCACACATGATAGAGGATATCAAGTTCTAGGCCTGATCAACTTATGGATGGCCATCTTATTTTCTGGAGGCTATTTTGAAGGTTTTACGATAAATCTTGTCATTACCATTTTAGGAAAACCGCTCATCGGATTTTCTCCAAATTTGCACATAAGATAGAGGATATCAAGTTCTAGAGCTGATTAACTTTTGGCGGCCATTTTGAAGGTTTTTCGATGGTTTGATCTGGTTCACATCATGTGCCTTGTTTTATTATTTAACATCTAATTCCAATAATAAATATTTTATTTTTCAAGATATTCAGGGCCCTTTTAAGGATATCAGTAGTCCATATAATTATGTCACCACCAGAAGTGTTGACATATTGTTATAGTTTTAATTTTTTGCGAAGGGTGTTCGGTGCTTGTAATACAGCGTCTGTAAGAAATTACAACATCTATAACAAATGGCAGGTGGTGACATTTTTGCATTATTGCCTTTTTATTCAGTACTTATCTTGTTTTTTTAGTCTTGTGATTCAACATGCAATTGATCTCTTTCGATTTTAATGAGATAAATATTTATTAAAACTGCACAAGAACCTAAAATTGCAGTGAGAACAAAGAACCACCATGTACACATGGTCCCATAACAGTCTTTTGAGCCATGAACACTATAGGCTTCATAATTCAAAGCAAATAACTTTTGGAACAAAATAATTCCAATAGCATGACCTACCACCACAAGACCATTGTTTTGTCCACAGTATCGCAAACCAAAAAAGCTTATGACAATGATACTAATTTGTACATAAAATGAGCCATATGCCAAAGCTGCCATTACAGAGCCACAGATTAATCCCATCAAACTTTGATCGAAAAATATGAAGACTATTTGACTGGCACATATGAGAATGCCAGAGAATAAAAGAATTGACGATTTTGGAATCCCAGGCCATTTCTGAAAAATGTAATCTGGTATCACACCACCAAATAATCGTCCCATTGATGCAAAAAGTGGTATTGTGACAGTAAAAATTACTGAGTTCATATCAATCTTTGCAGATTTTGCTAGAGTTGTGATATTATTCGTAAATGTACCACCAAGACCCCCGATAATCATGCACATAAAAAATATGTAATAAAACTCTGGTGTTTTGATGATTTGCCAACAGTTCATTTGCTTTGGGGGTGGCTTTGTTGTCTTTTCATGAACAAATTCTTCTTTATCATTTCCTTTTTCATTCGCTTTCAAGGGACCATTGTTATGCAGATCATTATTCTTATATTCATCAGTTTGTCCTGTTGGTTCAATCTCGGCGTATTCATGTGTTATTGTTCTTAGTGCTACGATAGCAAATATATTTACACATGCCGATAGTATTGCAAGCATTGTCATAAATTCTCCAAGCTTTTGATTCTCTACATCCTTGGTGTGCCCATTTACAAAATACCCCTCATAGAGGGCACTGAATATTGCAGGACTTATTCCATATATGGCATTAAGGAGCCCGAGTACCTTACCCATATGTTTTATGTCAAAGTTCTTGCAATTCACTATCATTGATGCCACGATTATAAATATAGTTCCCTCTGATGCCAGGAAATAAAAAACACATACAAGCCAGCTTTTTGAATTGAAGAAAATCCGAAAGTTTGTTGCCATCCACAGTAATGTAAATCCCAGACTTGTTAGAATAAGTGAGATGCTACATGTTATCTTGGCACCATAATTGTCAAAGATTATACCTGCCGGAAATGAGAGACATTGTCCCAAGTCTCCACTTGATGCTATATATTCCAATTCAGTCTGAGTAAAGTTGAATGTTTGTTTTAGAGCAATTGCATATGCGTTAAATCCAAATACAGATCCGCCCAAGAACCATCCAAGTATCCCAACACTTAATGAAACATATTTTTGAAGTTGCTGCCTTTTGAAATTCATCATTGAATATTTTTTAGTTTCCGTTACTTTAAAAAGATCTAGTGTCTTCTTCAAACTTAATGAATAACTGAGCAAATAGAGATATATTTGTACAGGTTGAGTTAAAAAGAATGGCCTAACTTTTCTTAGCTTGTGTATAGTTCTTGGAACCTCAACTTTAAGAAAGAAACTATTGAATTTCAGCTAGATAAAGTTGAAAATGATGTTCAGTAACTCCAGATTTGCAAGACTTCATTCAAAAATTGTTCAGTTTACAGATTCATATATATCATCTTCGCTCAATTACAACAAATTCATTCCACTTGGCTAAATCTTCAAATAGAATGACTCATTTAAAAGCCATCAACCTCTCAATGTACTCATTAATAGCATTTCTGGATTTTCAGTGTAAAAACATGAATTTTAGTTCAAATTAAAACATAAAATATGCACAAGAATGTGCATTCAAGATAAAGTATTTTTAGAAATGATCTCCATATAATAGTTTTTTTGTGCAATCTTCTTTGAACCACCCTGTACTGCTCGTTTAAATAAATTGAAATATATATATGAATGATATTGGATTCTAATGAGCTTCAAGGTGCAATGAACGTATACCTATATTCAAATCAATTTCTCTTGCTTCATAAAGGACAGGTGTTTGATGTAAGAGATTGTGTGGAGCCTAATTTGGTTTTACTTATTAGAGCAAGACTTATTAGATCCATAGTAACACGTTGAAGAAATATCTAATTTTCAGATTATCAAATTCTGCATCATGAAATGGTGTCAAATTCACGAGTTCAAAATTAAAATTCTGGTTACATTGAGTGTGGCTATCATATCTATCATCCTTTAATATTTTCATATAGCCTTTAAGAAGTCCAGGTCAGTCTAAGTAATCGCTGACAAGCCATATCGAATGAATTGAGAAAAACAATCAAATTGTTTTTCAAATGTTTATTTATCAATTCCCCAAGGATGTTGTTATTGATTTGAAAAAGATGCAATCTGGTACATATGTTACTTTTAATACAGGAAAGAATTATTCATGCGGAAGTTGATATAAATATATTCATTAATTAAAATCAAAAAATCAATGCACCCTTCAGGTCTCAGCAGTCAGAGTATGACATGTCTTCGTGAAATATTAAAATTTAATCTTATCTTTTTAATCTATATAATCCATAAATAAACAATCATGTTGTAAGACTGATCCTTATGATCCTAATGATGAAATTTATTTGTAATTTCATAATTATTATAATCACCAATGATTAATGAAATGGGTAAATTTTATGTTGATATTTATTTACTCATTATGGTAGAATATGATTAAATGATGCTATTCCCCAATTTTTTCAACTTTTTTCTTAGAAAGTATGGGACAGGAGGTACATGTAAATGCTAGCAGTCAGTGGGTGACAACTCTCAAGATCTCAGATACAAAATGAATGAAAATATTGTCTCTGGAATCATATATCAAGGCACGATGTGGGAAAAGGCTGGATGTTTGACCTATCATGGGATAAAAAGTATATTTTGCCCCTAAAATTTAAAATGTACATATTTTTGTTCTCCAGGATGATGTATTTGATAATGCTAGAGATGTGGATGAAGGTTTTGAAGAAATTGACAAAGAGGTGACAGCTACTGACAATAATAAGGTAAATACTGTACTCTTAATATTTTTTCGTGTGTGATTTAGTTATGCGCTTTTCGCAATTGTGGTTAAATCGCGAAAATCAATCTTCATGAAATTGTCAATTAAATACACAAGAATTTGTGAAATTTTTATTACCTTGGACTCCATTGCATTTCGTGTTTAGTAAAATTTTTGTCAAGTCTTTTTAGGCGATAAATGTGAAAGTAAGTTACAGAGGCTTATTAGATCACATAAACCAAAAAATTACAATGTTATAGAGGTTAAGGTGCAGCATGTCAATTACCAAAATGACATAGTAGTAGTTGTATTTAGTGATAATTGCGAAATTTATTTTTAATGAAATACATTCAATCATTTATTGACATTTATTGACTAAAAAAGTAATTGCAAAGAAAGCAATTTGAATATTGGAATGAGAATAACTAAGATGTTATTATAATGTACTTATAATGTATTTCCAATCTTGCAGTATCAACAGTTATTTATTGATCCAGCAAAAATGTTTTTCTATTCATCAAGGCTATGTGTAAAATCAGCACATACATCTCCACATGCTTTCAAACCTTAACAATTCATACACAAACAAACTAGATTTTTCCACAACATGTTTGTATGTATGTCTGGGTTGTCTTTAGCCATCTTCAAATCCCTTGACATACTCACTGTCTTTGTTGATAGAATCAGCTAAAAATTGTTACATGTCAAATTAAATGGCAACAGATGGGCTTGTTTTTCATTCAAATTCTGAAGAGACTGTAACAAAGATTTGAAACTACTTGAGAAACTACTCATCAATGTTTTAATAGACTAGATGCAAGTAGAAATAATCTTGAGTTACGTCATTAAATATTTAAAATCCAGTCAAAGTGATAGCAACAAGCAATACATTTTAGGTATATCTTATTAAAAATATTCTTGCGTATTACAGGAATGAATAAATATACAAACAAATTTTGGCAACTTGCACTATTCCAGAAATGATTGATTACAAATTGTATACTTCCAGGTGGCAGAGATGATGACCTTAGAACGGATACAAAACATTCCTAACAACAATAAAACTCCTAGTCCTTCCAAACCCTGCATAATAGGCCAGGCACCATCTCAACAATCTGATGTGATAACATTTGATAATGTTGATGATGCCTTGAACGCAATAGACACTGCTGGAAGTATAGACTTTGCTAAAGTCACACAAGTAGAAGCCCCTCATAAACCTGTGCCAAGCATCAGTCAGACTAAAAAATCTAGACGTGTGGAGTTGATCACTTTAGAGCGAACAACCCCTCCACGAAAATCTCCTATAGAAAATCTCTCCCCTCAGGGAAGGATACCACATATATCACCTCCTCAAGGTGGGCTACAGCATATATCTCCTACGAGGTTGATACATCAGCATAAAAGCCCTGTTAAAAATCCAACAGTTCACACGAGCCCTAGGAAACATAAAAGTCCAGGGAAGCTTCATAAAAGTCCAGGGAAACTTCATAAAAGTCCAGGGAAGTTTCAGGGCTTCCATAAAAGTCCCAGCAAATATCTGAGGAACTCTAATCCATTCCTGAGGAGCCCTCTTAGAATAGGGACACACTTACTTCAGAGAAAGAGCCCAGGGAAACTACGGGGATTCACCAGGGGAACCGGCCAGAAAGTGTCACCACTCATGAAGAAGAACCTAACAAGGATACAAGTAAGAATAGAATAGACTAGAAAAGTATTTGTCGCATCAATATAATAATTTTAAAAGTTCTAATTAGGAGTGCCAGTTTAACACTTGGTCAACTATTTACAATATTACTATGAATTTCAGAATTATTTTTGAAATCTATGATTTGGAATGTATACTTCTGTACAGATACACTTTAATACACATGTATAATGATTGACAATGCACTTTTTGCCTTAAAACAGTCAAAAATGTTTTTGTAAAAAATCTTAAAATTGAATGAAAAGCTAAAATCTTGATTTGATTTTGCAGTTGGGCCCAGCAACTACAAACAATCAAAAGAAGTTTGTTAAGATTGACGATGCCCTTCCCGATAGTCCTTCAAACTCAAACCACGGCCTAGGAAATTCCAACCAGGGCCAAGGGGCCTCAAACCAGGGTCAAAGAATTTCGAATCAGGGCCAAGGGCCCATGTTGTCTCAAGCCTCAACATCACAAATGAGGATTCCAACAGACTTTAGCGAGTTCCGTATACAATTCAAACAAAACATTGGTGTTGAAATTACTGCAAAAGAATTGACTATTCCTACTAGCCCAGTTCTTGGGGAGATGGAAAATCAAATGAACTCTCAAAATCAAAATATTGGGGCTGATAAACAAAGTATGGGAGAACTAGTTGGGGGAGAATTAGTTGGAAATATAATAGCCCCTAGAAAGCCTGTTCAGGCAATTGCGTCCAAGAACATTCGGATGTGTACCACACCGCCTCCTTTGGAGGATTCAATGATGATGGATTCCCATAGTGCATGGAGCTTACACTCTCCTAAAAGACACACTATCTCACCCCAGGATGAGCCATTTAGTGCCCCAACCCCAAAGAAAGCTGGGGTTTCCCCTCCCCCATTGGATGAGGAAGCAATCCTCACCAGTGACACTTCCTGTAGCAGTTTACCACCCATAGGTAACTCTCCTTTTAATAATCCAAACAGCCCCTTCTGTATGATAAATGCACTACAACAACCCACAGCTGAAGTGTTGGATCCTAAATCTGAGAGAGGTGAGGAAAAACAAGAAAGGTTGATCATGAAAATAAACCTGACTGGTAAGCCAGCTGTTGTGAGTTCTCCAAAAGCAGATAAGAAGATTGCAATAGAAGAGGACGTTGAACATACAAAGAGTGAGGACAGTGAACTACCATCATCTCAAGGGAGTAAAACAGGATCTGACATCCAGGGTGAGATAACCGCTAACTCGCCAGCAAGTTGCCATGACAACAGCGGTAGCTTCAATGACAACAGTACAGGTTGTCATGACAATATAAGCAGCCATAATGAAGACTCGGGTAGTTCCAAGTCACGGCCATCTCACAGCGACAGTACCAGTGGAGATACAAATATAACATGGGACTCCAGCACAGCTAGTAATATGTCAATGGATGCTGCAAACTGGACAAAGTGAGTATTTTTACATCACTAAGGTGTTGTGGCATATGTTTTGCACAAATAGAAGTAATTCATAGATGGGTACGGTGAGTGGTAGGAGTTAATACAGATGTGTTCAGGAACCATTTGTCAATAAAACAATGCAGACTTTCTAACCTCTCTTGGTGGGTGGTGTAGTAGGTATCAAAATAGATAATCTGTAAAATTGAGTGCTAAACCTATGAGATAATCTCTATTAGGTAGACTTGAAGGAGCACATCATTAATTTGCTTTTCAGGATTTCAGGAAAGAATTCCAGGTCTGAATGCCCAAAAAATTCCTGGAGGAGTTTATGACTATGCTAAAACATATTGAGCACTAAAACTTCATTTCTTGAAATGTTTGTTGATAATTTTCTCCTTGGGCTTATTTTAATATCCAAAATGCTATTTTTTCTTTGTTCCAGGGAGAATGATCACATGGTCCTAAGGGAATGTAAGGAGCAAGGAACAAAGCAGGAAACATTTGATTATGTGGCAAATGAGTTGGGGAAGACTCCTCTACAGGTTTGAAGAATGCAATTTAACAGTTATTATTGATTCAGGCACTACCATCAGTGTTTCATTATATTTTCTAAAAACTGAAAATGAAAACAATAGGAAATATTAGCCAAATGAAAATAATAATTTTAACTTAAAACAGTTCCAGAATGCTTCGAAACAAAAGAAGATATTAAAAAAAATAAAAAATTGGGGAAAATATTATTATAACATTTGAACAGTTCCAATTAGGTCCTCAAAACAGGCAATTGACAACCATTCTTAGTCCAAGGGTACTCATTTCTTTCCATTCTTTTGGATTGTGTAATAACTGAAGTCCTTTGAATGAAGGTTGATTGACAACATCATCTCTTGACTGCTGCCAATGAAACACTTGTACAGTAGTCTACAAAAGTTATTTTTTGCAAATTGTTTTTGAAACACTGAAGGTGTAGATTATATTTTCGAGATTGATTTACATTATAGCCTGCTATAAACCTCTGAATAATGTACTTGCAGGTGAGACAGAGGTTCAAACTGCTAATGAGGCTCTTCAATAAAGAGATGACCAGTGATGAGAGCAGTGATGACAACACTGATGCATAATAATGAAATCCATGACAATACTGATGCTTAAAATTAATGATCATAGCAGTGAGACTATGCAATATAGAACTACAGATATATGAACAGTAATTGATCATGTTGACAGCTGATTAATCGAGAAATCATAATACAACTGGAATTTCGAGCCAACCAAAATGACTGTTAAAAAATTGACCTAGGATATATATTTATTTTCATTTGTTCAAAACAGGTTGACTGAAATATGTTTGGTCCCAGAAACTGATAAAAGCAGTTGACCAACCAGATTCATTTTTGTACATTTGGTCAGGTTAGACATCAAATGATTTTTTATGCAACTGATCTTTTACCTATAATAAATACTACTGAAAATGTAAGTTGCCAGTCAGCCAGTAAGCTATGTAAGATTTGTTTGAAAAAAATACAAAATGGTTTCCTAAATGAAAAATATTACTTTGTTATTACATAAATCTAGTGAACATTTACCCTTTAATGTCCAGAACTTATGTCATGTTTGCTTGCTGTTCAAGTGTTCCAAGTTTTGTCAAATGAATATTTTAGAAAAAAAACATTGACTTGAAGGCAGAATCAGATGCTAGTTCCAAAAGAGTACTCAAATTTGTTTAAAGTTTATTTGGCTCATCATTCCTTGTCATTTTTATTTTCTAAAAATCCCCAATGTGTAATCTGTACTTGAGAAAAGCTAGATTTTTACAATAATATGCATTCATATTATTTGAAAGAATTTATACATTTTTTCCCCAGTTATGCACTTTGAATCCTAATAACTTCACCAATTTCACTGACGTCAAATACGTTCTTCGAACGAGATAAGAAACATTGTGGATATTTTGGGAGATACATGCTATTATATTTGAGATTGGTAGATTTGAGAAGATATTGGCAGGCCAATTGTACATTTTGCTTGCAATTTTTATAACGCCCTATAGATCTGATTCTGCCTTTGAGCTAGGTCCTGCATTCCGCATGCCCCTATATAGTTTTCGTTTCCAGTTTTTTTTATGCAGAAAAGATCAGCTCGACATTCCCTAACGATGAAAGTATCAGAATGTTGTTTCATTATTTTCTGACATACATGTAACAGAGAATAAATTCATTATGAAGAGTCCAAAAGATTCAAACCAATATCTCGATCACCTCTTTTGTGTTTTTGGATTTCTGTATTTGGAAATCAGACCAAAATTCTCTATTCAAATTCTGAAGTGAACAGGGCCTCCCTGGCAGAAATCAAAAACAAATTGATTGCACTGCCATCTTTATTTAGAATGAATAGTATTTCCTTTTAGCCGATAAACTGGAACATGTAGTGACAATACATCTATGTACTGTAGTCAGGTTATGAGTGTGAAAGGCTCTCTTGTATGGAGAGAACCCTTGAGCCTTAGCATTTGACCTTATCAATGTTGATTTTTTCATCACAAAAATATATGTCATTGAAATTGATAAGTTTGGCAGTTGTGACTCTCTTCGAGAACCTTGGGGAGCAATTTATGCACGATTAACGACAAACATGATGAGGACACCTAATCAATTCCTGTCATCATGATGTCACATTGACCTTTGCAAATATGATCCCTTGAAAATTTTAAAGTCAAAAAATCAATAAAATTCATGTAAAAAATCACAATTGTGATAAAAGGCATAAAACAAAATGTATCATTCGATTATTAAAAGTCGTGTTTGTGTAAGTATCTAAATTGGTGTTTGTTTACAACAAGGCGGAAGTTATCCATTATCGCCCACGGATATTTCTCAGAAAACAACAGTTTTATTCTCCGTTAGTTTTATCGAAAATCATAACAGATCTTAGCACAAACGTTGCTTTAAAATATGATTTTGAACAATAAGTAGTATAAGATCAAGATTGTGGATTATAGGATTGATTGAATCGAGGAAAATTACCCAAAATTGAATTTGAAATGACCTGTCAAATAACAGTTTGTTTTCAATTGAGTGTTGAAACAAAGAATTATAAAGACTAACTTATCAGTTGAATTGTTGACATGGAATTAAGGCTTATGGAGAGATGTCTTCAGTTTCTGCTTTTATCTCAGGTAAGACTAGTTTAGAATAGACTGACACAGTGAATGTTTTAGTAACTAATATCAACTACTATTTTTCATGGCCTGAATGCGTTGGTAGAACTTGAAATATAAGAGTTACCTAAAAATTGGGAGTCTTACTTACCTTCTAGAGGTTACAACACACATTTCAATGAAACCATATCAAGCTAGGCTTTGTATAATTCAGTGGTGTCCAGGATTCATCCAATGTGATGCGTCTATGTCTAAAAAAACACCTGTAGTTCTTTTCTCCGAGTATATGTACATGTATTATCTCCTTTTCTTCAGCACTGTGAACAAAATCCCCAGGAAAAAGTAAAATTTGCTTTTAAAAGGGGGGGGGGCTAAATCTGTCTATTACAATTGTAGCATTTTAGTCGTTTTGATTGCTTAATAAAGGTTGAATAGATTTTCACTGCCCCTTGTTCAGGATTTCTCATTGTCTGGTACTAAGACCATCTCTACATTTTGGTCACACCTCAGGGTGGGCGTGGCACATCGATAAGATTTCTCATCCTATCATGAAAGGCCCATTGAAAAGAAGAATTCCCTAGATTACCATAAAATTAAAGACCATCCCCTTTTAAACAACAAAATGGAATTTAGTAACACATCAAAAAATGAAGATAGTCTCACTATTAGAATTCATAGTTTATGGTGGTAAAAAAACGTTTATGTTCACATGACCTCACATATTCAATGTTGTTGAACATGCAGACTATGATGACATTATCATGAATGAACTGAGGAAAAACACTCTTCTAAAGCTTTGGCTGAACAGCTTTTGTTATAAAGATAACATGTTAGTTACTGCCTAGGCCTTACAAATCAAAATCTCCCTCAGGTCAGGGGTTTCATTAGCAAGTAGCAAGGGGCAGTTTTTTCTTATTCATTTTACTATATTTACCTGTTTAGCGTAATTTTGCCAATGTACATTTGTAAATCTATATTAGAAATCAAATATCATAATTTATTCCATAGTTAGCATGATATTCATAGGATAACATGTGAAAATAAAAACGGTATTTTTGTTATCAGTGGTAAAATATGATATTTTTGACAAATTTTCACTAAACCATAGCATACGGTTTTTTAGCCATGACATACGACGTCGTATGCGATGGTTTATGGATTTTTGCTACTTCAGACTCAAAACGAGGCTAAGTGTCAACATCGCCGGATCGTTTGGAAAATTCGAATTAAATGACTTAATTTCTGACGATTCTGATGATGAGTTTAACTATGGAATAAAAAGAACATCCTATGATTTACTCGTGATATGATTTTAATCCACTCATGGTTATTGATATCTGCACTCTCTCGCTACGCTCGCTCGTGCAGATATCATATCCATTCGTGGATAAAAATCATATCACTCATAAATCATAGGATATCCTCTATATCCTTTGATTTGGAATTTGGAGTTTTCCTTCATTAACCCAAATTAACCCAAAACCTTTGTTAAAAGCAAAAGAATATGAATATACGATGATGAATATCTTCAGAAAAGGCCAGAAAACATCTTGGATATTATTCTTTTATTGATTTCCCTTGAGGGTTAGAGGAAGTGGTATGATTAGGTCTCAACTTGAATCATTCTGGATATTGGAACCTCTTTCAACTTGTCATGAACTTTTCTGTCTGTTGAATTGTCTGGGAAAGAAAGTGTTTCTCCAGAAATATGTACTTGGTGCTTCCAAAGCTGTTAACAGATCTCTATAGCACTATGGTAGTAGTTAATTAGCAAGTAGAATGTATCCTAATTAGATCATAGTAGAATATAGGGCATCATAACAAACAGATCTCAACTGTTGTAAGCATGGGTTAGATTGACCTAGAGCATTTAATTTTACTTCCTTCAGTGTAAGTTGAACATATTTGTAAATGTGACTCATAAAAACATTACATGTGCTGGGTTTTAAAATGGAAAAATTGGTCAGATCATTTCAAAAAACTAGTTGAGCCTGGTTGGTGTGTAAAAGATATGGCTTTTTGAAGATTTTATAAATAAATTGTCTAACCCTTATGGTTTTGACATGATTTCTGATAGATTTGGTAAGGTTTTAAAATTATTAGGAGACTGTACTGGATAGACAGTTTGTACATGAAAGAAAGGTGAATGTGGTAGATACCTAATAGATTTAAAGGCAGTGTATCTATTTCAAAATAATCAGTATAGTATGGTGTGATTGTTTGTAAGGAAGGATAAATAAAGCACAATCATTTTGACAGTATTAAACTCTAGTAGAATCACGACTTGAATTGTTTATCTTTGTGGTTTTCAACTCTCTTTGCACTGAATATCCTATCAGTGAAATATAGTCAAATCAACTAAATAAGAACTAAAATGTTCTCAGTCAGTTTACAAGATTTAGCAAGTACGATGTACCATACTTGTACGAGGGTTGATCCAAAAGTTACGAACTGTTTGCTCTAAAAATCTTGATATTGTATGAATATTGTTCATATTTGGCAACAACCACCCTATATATAGTAGTTTCATTTTGTGTAAAAATAAACAATAAATCTGACCAGCAACATAGGTGTCTGGTTACCATAGCAACATGACAACGGGGTAGGTGGAGTAACCCTCGTATAACCCATAGAACTCCAGAAGTGAGAAAAATAGCAGCCATTCTTTGTCTGCCATCATCCATGCAAAACACATAGTCCTGCAGTTTGAAATGTGGTTAACCGCTAACATTTTGAAATCCTGTAATATGTAGTGTTAGTGTTACCTGTCCTATTTTTGGCAAACAGTTTCATTGTACCATGTACAGTGTATGGACTGTAATGGAAACATGAAAGGGTTAAATCACATCTTTCAATGCCCCATAATATAGCATGGAGATTGGAGAAGGGAGTCTATACTATCCTATCATGTGCCACGCCTATTTCTTGTGACCACAATCCAAAGAGAAATGAGTGTTACAAGTGTGATATGCAGGGGTTTCACTAGAGTTTCTCACAACAGGCTAAATAAATGGAAACAACAGGCAAAATTAGTGGAAGTCACAAATTTAACATGGAAAAGTCGTAAAGTCCCTAAAAACAACAGGCGATTTTGTGAAAATAACCAGTGAAAATTGCCTGTTACCTGCTGTTAATGAAACCACTGGATATGGGTGTTACTGTACATGTACATATTCCAGAATTTAAGTGTAGGGAATCTTTATACATTATAGATTCCTGTGCAATAAACCCTAAAGCGGTATTTCACATCTTCAGCCTTTTGTAGCCTTCAGTCTCCATGGGAAAAAGAAAGTCTTAACTTTTCTCAGCTACAACTCCTACTATATTTACACACACTGCTAAGTTAAAGTTGTGGCAGTGTCGAATTTCAGTGTATTTCTAAGAAACGAGTTTTATTAAACCTGTAGCTGGCATGATATGTTTTGATACAGTAGGAAGTGAGGCTGAATCATTTATCAAGTGTATCTCAATGATTATCACACTTATCACATCTAATAGTGTATAAGATCACTTGACATTTTCTGACATTTCCAAATTTTACAAAAAAGTTTTTTGTCTGACATGTCTGATTATTTGTATTTATTTTGATTTGACCGTGTTTAGTTTGGGAGATTTTACATTTTGCCTAATCAAATTAGGGATTGAATTGGTGAATTGTTCTTCAATTTTGCAGATAATTTAGTGTAATGTTCATGAGGTATATGGATCATATTACTTAACACTGTCATTCTTTTAAAAAATTGCCTGATTATAGTTTGTGCCAAATTAATTTTAACAAATACACCATCCTGAAATTTGATTGCATATTTATACTCAAAATATTTTCTGGGAGGGGGGGGGCTGGATCTTAAAAGCTGCTCTCTGTAATATGAAAATCATCAATTAAAGGATCTTAAATAGCCTCCCCTCCCCTCCCCTACTGTAAAATACTTCTTTGGGCACCTCTGAAAACATACTCAGAAATATAAAGTGGATAGCCAATGATTCATGAGTGATATGATTTGTATTATCAACATCCATGGATAAAAATCATATCATGAGTAAATCATATGAGGTTATTTTTTATACCATAGTTAAAGTGTGTTTAAATGTTTCAAATTAAACCACCTAAGTTGAAATTTTTTCAAAGTAACACCCATATAGGCCTACATATTTTATACTAAGAGTTATTTCAGTCAAACTCTCATTTAGATACCCAGGGTCTCATCATTGGCCACCTTGTCTTATCTACTTTTTTATTCACATTGTCTGTGAATAACCAACAAGAGTAAGATTATCACAGGGTGGAAATAATGAATATGTAATATGTGTACAATGTACGTATATATTATTTTTCTATATATTCCAGGTTGTGGCCTTAGCCCTTGCTGGTGTCAAATTTGAAGCAAGGATGTTATATTACCAAAACCCCAGTGGGCAGGGAGCAAACGGATTATGCTGTGATTCTGTTGACTTCTTCAATTGTGGGATTCTCAGCAAATGTGACCCATTCTTCATTTTCTGTTTTGATGATGCATACAGGTAAATATCACATACAATGTCAATGATATGTGCTTAATAATGTTTCATTCATGTTTTTATGCAATGATATTTTTGGATATGCATGATGTTTTGAATTTACCCTTTGCATTCGTTTGACTTCACTTCTATATATGGTCATTCATTCTGACGTCATCGTTGAGCCCGGAATTGACCAATGACATGCGCATATTTATTTAGAACGCATTTGGCATATGTTTCTTCAAGCTCGCTGATTGGTGGAAGAAAGGTCAGCGCTTAGGTCAAAAGTGATTTATTACCCAAACTGTCACCGGTACCCGTCGTGGGGGCGGGGCTACTAAACTGTAATATGGTCTCTACTAGGCAGAGTGTAGTTTAACTAGACTCTGCACGCAGGGTATTTTGAATTTATACTGCTTCAACAGCAAATGATGTTTTATAGTGTTATATCACTGGCATGTGCAGGATATATTTCAGTCACATTAGGCAATCAGAGTGCTAGAGATTCCACCTACATTAATATGCATTTATGTATCGCATATGTATATTTTAATTCATTATGACCAAGTATCAGTATAAATTATTTATCAAATTAATTGTCATTTTCTAAGTACATTGTAATTGTTTTACTTATTAGTAGAATAAATCATGTATCTTCATAGGCAGTGATCTCCCCATGTCACTTTTACCAGGGGGAGGGGATTTGCAAAATGAGTGAAGTATGCACCTACCTGGAGATATCGGGAACGTAACGAGCGCTGATTTTTTCAAACTTGAGAATTTGCACCCAGTTGAAATTTTTTTGGGGAGAACACTGAGAGGTATGTGAACTTTGCTTGAAGCTACTAATTTAACTGCTTAATGCCACAATTCTTGTGTTTTCAGTTCAAAAGAGATGTCAAAATGTCCATATGGCAGATATGAAACTGACTATTATCAACATAGGAATTCTATAACATTTGGTGACATGATGAATGGAGTGAAAAATCCTATGATTTTGTCTATTGGGCATTGGAAGGTAAGAATATTACAAATGGACAACATAGTAATAAAATTCACTACTGGTTATCATCATGGAACGCATGATAATAACTAAGCTGTTAACATTACACCTATGAAGAACAAGTACATTTATAAAAGGTTAACAGAGAATCTTCAATCTATGTTTTTAGGGAATGTAAAATTTGATTCATCTCAGAAATTATCGTACTTTTACCCAAGTTAAGCAATGAGTGATGTATGAAAAAAATCATTCCAATGAATATTAAATCCTTTGTTATATTTTCAGGACTCCATTAGGCTTAAAGTACAAGTTATAGATGACGATTCACATCATTCAAATCACGATAACATAGACTTCCTTTACCATAGAATCACTGCAGATCCAGAGAGCAGCTCTGAGACTGCAACATGGAAGACTGTTAAGACAACAGGGACAACAAAATCACGAACAGCGTATGTATTCATGTAATGTGTGTCTCACATTAGAGTTCACTTGCTGATGGTTTTAAATACTAAATATTCTCACATATAGCATGACTACAAATAAATGGGTCCTAAATTATCCATAATTAAAGGGGGGGGGGGGGCCATTAAATAGTGGTAAATGCTTGGTGAAATTTTTTTTCCTTAATCTCAAAGCTGTGTGTAGACATTTCCCTTTGTATACTGAATTATCATTTTTCATGAAATACATCATTTAATTCATTTTTGTATGTTGACGTGGATTCACTTATAGAGTACAGGTACTTATGTTTTTCAACATGTTTTCAATATAATGTACACGCTATATTTGAGCTAAATATTTTATTTACCATTTCAGATTGACATTCAAATACAGGGTGTATTGGGAATCTTCAGGCGATTCCTCTGCTCTTGGAAGTGTCGGAACCAGTTCAGTAATCGGCATAGTTGTTGCAGGCATAGTCCTAGTCATTCTTGGCGTCATTATATACATTATCTGCAGAGTTAATCAATACAGAAGTCGCAACAGAAATTATTACCATGAGCCTGACTCATTTACCAATACGACAACTCATGTAACCAACGATAATGAATTAGTTGTGCAATACACAGCAATTCCTGCCCCTCTTCCAGATTTTCATGCTGAAGTGGGAGAGAGTCCTCCATCGTATGATGCAACGGTGGCAGCTGATTCTATCCCTCCTCCCCCCTCTTATACTGAAGCTACAAGTAAAGATAAGAATATACCAAATGGTGCAAATGTTAATACGGCTGCACCAGTTTCTACTCTAGAGCCTGAACCCTCATCACTGGAGAGTAATACTCCAGTGAATGAACAGAACCCAGAACAAATGCAAGGTTCATCAAGTGATCTTACAACAGAAACTTTGCCATCCATTCGGAGTGTAGGTGTTCCAATAGAAAATCCTCAGCCTGAATCTATGGGGGCGGCCTTTTCTACTTCACCCAGTCCAAAAGGGGCTATGCCTCAGGAATCAAGAACCCATATAGATGGAGCCTGTGGTGGTGTTGGGCCAGACCCAATAGTTGTTACTGAAGATAAGCCGGACAATGATTGGATTGCTGAAAAGGAGAATCGTATTAATGAAACCAAGCAAGACTCGTTAGATTTGAATCTTGGTAAAAAATAAATAGAAAACAAGCAGCTAGGTCATTCATTTTGTTATCTTGCCATGTTGTTTTTGTGTATTTTTTGCTTCAATTCCTATTTCTGTTTTTGAATACAGATTCTCAGTTCAATAAATGTGCCTATTAAACACTTCATACACTGTATGGCACCTCCAATCACCTATTACAGCAGTATGTAATGAGGGACATTGTGTTCAGATAAATGTCCAAACATTTCACCGATTTACATAAATTGTATGCATATATTTTTTACAATGGAAACTGATTGTATATGTCCATTGAATTTGTCATAAATAAGTTTTTTCATGGCCAGTGTTCAATTGTTACCGTAACTTCTCAAACAATATTGTATATTTTATTATGCTTTACTATTTTTCCATGTACACTGCTAGTTATTGTTGCTATATGTAAACATATACTTCACACCTTAAACCCATCAAATAAAACAATAAAATTAACCTATTTGTAAGTGTATGATAGATATTGATAATATATACAAAGATAATGCAATGAGAGTCTGATGTGCTATTTGAAGTGTTAGAGGTGTCCAAATAGCCAATATCAAAAGTGGAACAAAAATTGGATACTGTAGATTGGGTTAATTTGGCGCTACTTAATTTGGCGATTTTGCCATTTTTGGCATATTGGCGGCTATTTAATTTGGCGAATATGCAAAAAACAAACAATTAAAATTAAATTTTTTTTAAAATTATAATTAATATTCACCACGTTTGTAAATTTTTGTGAGATCATCCTTTACATTTTGCACCTCGATCTAGTTTTTCCCTGAGTATTAATCAGTGACTGACCAGTTCTGAGCCAATTTATGAGAGACATTTTTCATATTTTTGGAAAAACTAAACCGGAAGTGACCTAAATACACTGGACGAAATACCCTAGATAATTCCCGGGGATTCATTCTAAATTTTGGCGAAGATTTATATTGGCGAATTTTTCAATTTCGCCAAATTCGCCAAATTAAAGCGGGCGCCAAATTAACCCAATCTACAGTACATAATTTAAAAATGTTTTTTTTTTAGGTTTTTAGTCATGAAGGTCAGATGGTGGTAATGTCAAATGTTAAACAAGCAACTTTCAAGTAGAGGGAGAAATTAGAGATTTTAAGTAATATGTCTCAAGAAAATACTTAGTCTCACTGTCTATTAAAATGTACCCTTTGCATTTGTTTGACTTTACTTCTTAAAAGAGAGCTTTGTCTTCACTCTTTCAGTTTACAATAAATATCTGATTTCACTCAGCCATTAAGAGGCTGTCGTCAAAATATGGACAACTTTCTATGGTAATTTCCTCTGACATCATAGCATAGTTAATAAGCAAGCATTTAGCCAGTTAGCTCATTAGTTGAGAAATGATCAGCATGGAAGTTTGAAATGATTTTATGACCCGGGCAGTCACGGTCATAGGTCATGGGGGCGGGGCTACTTAACTGCAATATAGTCTATACTAGGCAGAGCATAGGCCAAGGGAAAAGTAGTAGTAGACTTCTATATACAGTTTACTATTACTTTTCCCTTGGCCTATGAGGCAGAGGGTAGTTTATAACTAGACTCTGCGAGCAGGGTAGGCTAATTAGAATGGCTTCATGTGTCGTAAACATCTGATCCATTGATATACAGTGAAATCTGTATATCTGAACACCTGACTAATTCAACTCCCATGTTAATATCAAAACCTTCTGAATATGAAAACCTCCCACACTTGAACAGTGAAATCATATTTGAAAAATTAACCCGTCTAATATAAACACTTCATAATATATCACATGTTTCATACAAAATTGCTCAAATGTTTTATTACAGCATGCCATTAAGCTATGTGGTCAATAGAACTTTAAAGATCTACTGAGAATGTCACAATGGAGTTCGGATAAGGCAGGTTTTACTGTACGATCCTCAAACATGTCAAATTGAACTGAATGAACAGATAGGCCTAAAACATTTTTTTAGAGCTTAGAATGCTTACTCAGACATGCAGTCTGATATTACATGTATTGTTGACCATTTTCTATTGACAGAAGGGGAGTGATTATGAATTTTTCTAAAATGATCTATATTAATTTCTTCAACATCAACAGCTAGTTCTTCATGTACTTTGGGCTAGTAGCTCGCAATTTGCTTTTTAGTCCAGGGGACCAGATTCGAATCTCGATAAAGTCATTTACACATATAGTCATATTTAATACTTTCAAGGGTTTTAAAAAATAGAAAAATGATTGTCTTTCTTAGCTATTTTTAGTGTTTACTGATGAAGGTAGTTGAAATTTGCAGTCTACTGTATTTGAAAAAATCATGTACAATATATTCAGTCTATGTGTATGTATAATATACCAATAAATATAGAAATACTTATGTTTTATATTATACTCTTGATACATGTCTCTCTGCTTTGAATGGGTGGACCTAGAAACAGACTCACTGACTGAAGGAGAAAGTCAGATTTAAAAATTAACAGACCCAGAAATTAAGTTACGCCATATGGATCATTTTAAAATAAGCCCCGTCTCAAAAAGTTCTATTTTTAGGAATCAGATATGAGCCAGGCCACAAGAAAGGGGTCCTACTCTTATCACAGATTTTTTTAATATTTTGATTTTTTGTTTATCTTCAAAAGCACAGAGACCTCTCAATAGAGCCATGACATGTCTTAACAAAATTTCCTCGCAGATATAGACCGAAAAATGGATTTGAATTTAGCACAATTTTAATTGTTGTGATAAGACTGCTTTTCCTGTGTTTAGGCTCATATATTTTTGAAAGAGGCCTGATAAGGTCATTTTTAGGCCCAAAATTAAACACATATTTTTTTACCAACCTAACGGGAAGGGTCCCTCGGTCAACCACCCGAGGGGGGACTGCTCATCTTTTTGTCAATATATAGGAGTACCCCCCCCCCAAGTACAGTATTGGTTAATGAAAACACAGAATCAAATCCTGAGCTAAGATTGGCCTATTTAAAGGTTGTATATAACAATTAAAGTGATTTTCACTCCTTTTCAAAGTTATGGCATGTTGCTGTGTATATATAACACTGATTTTTTTGGCTCACTCAGTGAGCCTATGGGATCGACCAGGCGTCCGTCCATCCGTTGGTCCGTCCGTCCGTCAACATTGGCCGCACAAATTAAAACTGCTATTCGGATTAAGTCATATCCACAGTCATTTTATGCATATTCATAATGCCTATTTGACCTATCATCGCCATTTCCCAAGTTCGCCCGGTTTCCGAGAAATTGCCGATTTTGATGTCAAAAAGTCAAATTTTCTGTATATACTAGACACTTTGTTGAAGTAGAACTTTCAAATAACTTTTAGTAGTTGCTGTATATGCAACTTATGTCCTCTGAAGATTTCAAAGCTCTTGGAATTACAGTTTTTGGTGTTTACTCTATAAAATTTGACAAAAAGTAGGACCATGTCATTTTCAGGAAACTTTCTCATGTAAGTCAATGGCAGGTTTTGTGATTGACAAGTTTCTCAAAGTTTGCCTTACTTGATCATTTCTTGCAATGAATTACATCATTACTAGATTTAAGCATTCTCTACATATTGCTCAATATATGTCAGCATCAAATTTTTACAGTTTTTGAGATATTAGACGTCAAAAAACAGTAAAAATAAGTTATTTTTCAACTTATATTGCTTCAATTTGACCATCTACAAGTTGCCAGGAGCTCAAATCTGAGATTAGTTTTAGGATTTGACCTTTACTTGACCTTCAGTGACCTTCGAAAGGTCAAATTAAGCTGACCAAATTTTGGTCAGCTTAATCACAAAAGACCTTACTGCAGAGCTCTGAATAAGTAAAATTTTCAAGGTCAAAGGTCATCAAACTAGGTCATACAACTGTGCTATCAAAGTTTATTTCTTAAAGTTCAAGACTACAAATACAAATCAATATTCTTGTTATAAAGTCATGATATACATTCCTCTGAAGGTTCCAAACTGTGTGAGCACAGGACCGTGGGTCCTATTTTTACTTATTTGGAGTGGATATTCATCTTTCATTCCATATAAAGAAAATAGATATTGATATAAAATTGGCTTTTGGGGCCTTAAATTTTTTCTTGGCCCACGAAAGTGTCCTATGCCCCCCTCCCCACCCTGGAGATCCGCTTGTGGAGTACACGAGAAAATTCAAAAACAAAGCACTCGGCACTTTTGAGTGTTTAAATTTCCCGCAATTGAGGAATACCCATCGAGGGAATTCCCTGTCTATGATTTCAAATATGTAAACCCCGTATCGACCTCTTTTTCAGCCAACATTTCCAAGGTAAAAATATTCGACAAATCTCTTCATAAAATATGATTTTTTTCCTCATTCCAATGAAAAGATTTGAAACGGATGATATCAAGCAATACATCGCATGAATATCCTACTTTGTGTGATGTCAAATTTGTTTTTAGATCTTGCTTTTTCATTCAAATTGGATTTGAAGTGTTCAAATTTTCACTTCCGGTTGAAATATTTCACATGTTTTTCAATCAAATTAATTTTTCACGCACACGGTAAGTTGTGTGGTTTCTTTCCGTTAATATTGCTTACAACGATTCATTATACGTGGTCAACAAATCGAAGTTCTGATTCTTTTGTACAATTAGCCTCACATTGTGTGTCTTGTCTAGATAACCTCTGTCATGAATGTGCAGCATGATTCTAGTTCTATTCAGAGCTGAATCAATGTAAGTTTATGCTTATTAAAGGAATCTTTCTGTTATTTAGATGCCCGGCTACAGCGTTAAGGACGTTGATCAGCATCAATTTGTGAAGGCATACGCTGCCTTCCTCAAGAAGTCTGGCAAAATGAAGGTTCCTGACTGGATTGATATTGTCAAGAATGGTCGCTTCGCTGAACTGGCTCCTTATGACGAGGACTGGTATTACATCAGGGCTGCATCCATGGCCCGTCACTTGTATATCAGAGCACCATGTGGTGTTGGAGCCTTTACAACTGTTTATGGAGGTATGTCACGAAAGTTGCCACAATTCTTGTATTCGTTGTTCCCTCTTCAAAAGAGGAGATGCAGAAGATTTTCCTTATTCACCTTTCCACAAAGTCAAGAAAATCAATAATTTCCGCTGCGCTGATTGGCTATATGCAAATGATTGAAATCGATGATGTCAATGGTAGAAAGTTTTGAGGAATTAGTACAGCCAGTATATTAATATTTTGACTTAACTTGATAAAGACGACTATATTTGCCCAATGCAGTAAATATTTTTAATCAAATATGAAATATGGACGGGGCACTTTCATCCCAAATCTTAGATAATTTAATTCAATCAATTTTCTAAATAAAACTAGAATTCTCAGTTCAGACTTAACACATACCTGTCAACCTCTCATCGTTTAAAATCGGGACAAAAATCGGGACAGCAAAATCTCTCAAAAATCGGGACTTTTCAGAAAATGTACACTGGTTGTGAAGCCTGAAATGCGCGTACGCATTTTTCGTATAATTGGAAATACATTTAGCATGCCCAGAAAAGCATTTTAAAGATATATGCAGTGTAAGATAAAAGCCATATTTTACGGTCATCCAATATTGTTTAGAATTGAAGATTTTATATTTACAGATTCATGATATGATGTGGTGATTGGCCTATGATTTTACGATGAAAGCGTTGTCTCTATTAACGCATGCCTAATGCGTCAATTGATTTTGAAAAGTATACGTTTTGGAATATGATTGGGATCTTGTGGTATATATGATATAAGTTCCCATGGGCCTAAAATCGAAAGGCTTTCCCCGATTCTCAAATGGGCTTGTAAAAAGAGGATCGACGTGTATTCATTTTGTTGAAATACGGTATCGGCATGATCGGGATGAAATATGAATAGGATATGGTCTTTACGAATATTGCATACTGAAATACCTGTGAATAACTAATCATGTTTAGCTGAATTACTCTTGGCGAGTGAAGTTAATGATTGAATTGATAAGTGCAAATGTTTTAAATTTTAAACAGGTCATTTTTCAAATAACCATGACGATCGACGATTAATTTAATTTAAATAAATTATCTATCTATATATTCTTATGAGACATATATAATGGTGAACTAATGCTAATGTCTGCTGTTCACATCCAGTCGCCGTCTATGGACGGTTACAGACCGGTGTAAAAGAAATTATGGTCCCCTGGGAATTATGGTCCCCTTTCTAAACGGCCCTTATTGTGTATAAGATAATAAGGGAAAGGGTTGTATTTAGATCACCATATAAATCAATGGAGAGTAGGACCATAATTTGAGAGGACCTCCTACCCTTTTACACCGGCAGTGAATTTCTTCAATGTTCTCCTAATTTTGAACGAAAAATTAATAATTATATTGCGTAGAAGGCGCAAATATATCTCAAGTTGATATTAAATGAAAAATCAACATTATTTTCTGATAATTTACTCATTTCAAGCGGTACAATTAACAGCAATTAACCAGGGATTTACATGTAAACTGACTTTATGGAAAGGTGATAAGGTCAAAATATTTCCCACGATTCATTTCGCAGAGGAAGAAATTCATACTTCCTTGTTTCCCCCCATTGGTTTACATGGGGATTTTCACACCTATATTTCAATCGATTGTATTCGTTCTTACTCTCATACGGCAGCACAGGAAAAATGATCAGAAACGATTGATCTCCTATCAATCTTAAATAACAGATATGTTTTTTTTATTCATAGCGTGGTAAAAAGGATGATTGAAAAGTCAGAAAATATTACGGAAGAGATGGTCACGTGATCAGTTGACTAGTCGGCACATTGGAAAAAATAATTTCATTCGACTTTCATTCCAATCTAACTGCATTATAAACTGCATCATCAATGCAACAACAGAATAAAAGTACTCATCTTCAAATTGCATTATAGAGTTATGTTGAAAACCCACAAACAAACGAGCGGTTGACCTAAGAAGACGTGTCGCTATTATCTAGGTTAATTGGTTCAGTGTCTGAATTTTATTGTTCATTGTACAAGCTTTTCTTGATTATCTCGGTATACTGACCATTAAAGCAATGGCAAAGAGCAATACTTCTGATGGTGTCATTATTGTTTTATTTTATTTAGCGTGCAGGCGTTAAAACAAAATTGCATAAGTAGTTTGATTTAGAACTTTTGAGTCACGCAAATAGCTACGCGAAATGTATCGTTGGAAAATATTAACCAATCAAATTTTGTCCTTTTTGAGGGTTTTTAAGTTAAAGGGAAAATTGTAAGCACATGCAAAGGTTAATTTTGCTAAATGTTAAAAATCTACAATAATATGCTTCTATTTTGCGGACAATCAATGATGTTCATTTATTATTGCTCACATACAATGAATATATCTTGAGAATAACTTATGGGTATATTGTTGTCGAAATATTGAAATAATCAACAGAACAACCAACTTTCAATTAAACACAATTGATCCCTCAACTAGCGAGGGGAATCTCGTTGAGTCATGCAAGCGCTCACACATGCTTTGGATCAGACAACCAATCTGGTTCATGATAAACAAATCCAATGACCAGTCAGATAACAGGGGTATTTTCCCGGTATATTTCTGCGAAAATAATTAGATCAGTCAGTACAATCTTATAAGTTTGCTTCAGTTTGATAAGTGTGTTTCCACAATACATGCATTATGATATTTGACCAGTGATGAACAACGTGCACCACGCTGATAATACATGCAGATTTGCACAACCACCGAATCAATTTTTCTGAGGTCAAAGATCCTGTATCATATACATACAGCCCTGCACTAAAATTGATTCCTACATGTGTTTCACATATTCATTTAAAAACTTCATCTGTCATTTTTGTAAAAATGTATGTTTATCCCATTAGATAATTAATTTTGATGGTCTTGTGTTATTTATTGATTTTATATTTCAGCCCGTAAAAGGAATGGAACAGCCCCATCACATTTCTGCAAAAGCTCAGGATCTGTATCACGCAAGGTCCTCCAGTCCCTTGAAGGACTCAAACTAGTAGAAAAACATCCATCAGGGTAAGTGTCATGATTGTCAAATGGGTTCTAATTGATGATTTGCGATCACCGGATGGATTCTATCTATGTCACATTTAGGCCACTCTGCTATAGCTGTTTGATTATATCTGAGAGATTATATTCTTTATTCCGTACGTTATTGATTTCTTTTCCACAAAAAGTGTTTGATTTGACTAGACATGCTAAATCAACATTCATTCTAAGCATATGCAATGTGCAAGATCTTACGGACATGATTTATATAGCGGTTAAGTGCCCCTCGATTTTGGGGCACTTAACCGCTATGTTTGTACCTGAAAAACTATCCTGATCCAGCTAAAATGTTTGAATTTGACCAATGATGAACTACGTGCACCACGCTGAGTTAAAACTCTGTAGAATGGCACTCCACCGAATCAATCAACTGAGGTCAATAGGCAGTTTATTAGAATTGTTGTCCAGATTTTTAGATTTTTAACATGAATTTAGAGAATGCATTTGCATTTAAAAGTACATGTACCTGGTTCATTGAATTATTTAGAATTAAGATTGAAACTATTGAGACTAGTTCTGTCAGAATATTTATTGAACTACAATTATAATTAATTGTAATTATTTAAACAATAACATTATATATCATATTTTGTTACCATTATGTACTTTCAGTGGCCGAAGACTAACCTCATCAGGACGACGAGATCTTGACAGAATAGCTGCCCAGATTGCCAGCAAAAGCAAGTCACAGCCTGCTGCAGCAGCCCAATAGACTTTAATATGGACAGTACATGTGGATATTTTATGTAGGGGGCTTGGTGCAAATAAACTGCATCTCAATGTATACACATCTTTTTTGTTGGTTTTTGGTTTATTTATCTTTATGATTGAAGCCAGGAAACTGATTGATTATTTTGTTTCTGGTTTGTTGGTGGGTGGCAGAAATTTCAAGAAGAAATGAAAGAAATGAAAGAATGTGCAATAATCAGTTTTCTCCATGTCTCCTGAACAAGTAGGAACTTGGAAATAGTTTACAAGTGACATTTTATCCATGTTTTTTTCATTTATTTCATTCAAGGTAACACATTGAATAGTAACTAGATGAAAATACATGGGATTTTTTTCAAAAATTGATGGAGACTTAATTTCGCCGCCATCAAATTAAGCAATCCATGTACTTTGAAAAACTTAAAATTTTACTTTAGTTCCAATTTTTTCCAAGTTTTTGACAGTGCAAAGTTTAGTGCCAGTTAATTCGAATCAAAAACAAACAGCCAAATATATCAATTCAATATACGAATACTCAACACGCTGAACTCTTGCATAATCAAATGCATTGGATTTACATTACATGTACTTAATTGTCTAGTTTACAGTGCCATCCAGAAAACTGATTTTTAGTCCCACATAGTGTCTGTCCATCTGTCTATCAGTGTCAACACAATGATGACTCATTTGCAATCCTCCATGAAAATTCAAATGGATTCACTTTTAAATGAAGTCTTCAATTATATCCCATAAGTGGTAATTTCTAAGCATTTCAAATGGCAGCTATCACCATGTGAGCCCAGTATCCATGCTTCGGTCTATTTTTCTTGACTGAATGTATTTTGTCTGGAAGTTACAACAATACACAAGAGAGGAATGTTCTGAGACAATGGAAATTTCTCTTAAAATATAAATTCTTTGACAACCTTATTCAATGTGTCAATCCTATTAAATAATCATAAAACATAGAAACCATGAAGAATTCAATGAAGTCAACCCTACCGGGTGTTCCAATAAATTATTGGCAGAATCAGATAATCAAGTACAGTTGGACTACTTGTCTACTTATCTATTCCTTATGATCTCCTATACAATATCTCCCAAAAGATCCAGGATATGTCATTAATTGGTGAAGTTAAGAATTGAAAGTGCAAAAATTTGGGAGAAGTGTTTAAATTCTCCCAAAATAATATAAATGGCAGCCATAAAAATATGAAATTTTACATTGTACAAATCTTAAGTTTACCTGGAATAAAGTCGTTTTTTTAGAATATGGGAAGGAATGATATGAGCTAAAAAATATTTTAAAATTGAAACAATTTTTTGTTTAGCTTGCTCGCTAGATCTGATCCTCCCTTTATAAAAGAAGATTATCTGAAAAAGACTGAATAAATATTGATTTAACTTAAGGTACAATGACTGGAGGATGGAGTGTGTCAGGATGGAATGTGTCAATTTGACATTTTCATATTGTTTGTAGAAAGGAAATCAATATAGTTTATTTCAACCACAATGGATAGTTGACCCATTTTTAATGGAACAAGTTTGGCACTCTTTGATAATGAAATATAATACAGGATATATGGAAATGTCCGTTATGATCAATAATGGAGTGTGATGTCCCATTGATGAACATGTATTTATGGATTTGACATGTATATGTAAGTCATCAATAACCTGCAAAAGGCTAATAAGCCCATTTAAAGCAGATACATAGTTTAACAATGATAGAATCTGAATAGAATATAATTTAAACCTAACATTCGAAAAATAGATCTATGGTTTGCAACTCATTTTAAAATTGAAAGAAAACTCCCTAGTTGTGGCTGGGTGTGTACCAAATTAAGCGTGACAGTTGCAAGCACAGGGTAAGGTACAACATGAGGATGATGCGATTTAAGCAAACTGATGTTTTCATCGTTTCAGAAAGATTTGGTCTAGTTTCTAGATATGTAAATGTCTGTAACAACATCCGAGACAGTGAACTTGACCGTGAATGTCATGATTAAACCTACACAAACTCCCAATATAGTATACGGTTTATATATATCTTTTATTGACTCTCTGATGTCATTACAATGACATATTAGTCACTAAAAACTACAATCTACAAAACTGACCTAAGACTAAACTAACTATTGAATACAAAAATAAAGTTGTTGTCAAATACAATTCTAATTACATCATCAAATGTAAAATACAGAATACAAGATAATTGTAAAATACAAATATAACTTGACAGAAATTTAAATATCAGTGTGATGCATCGTTGACACATTAATCCAATTTTTTGAGTGAATAATAGATGAACTTTGCTAAATGTAAAATTACATAAGAATTTTTGTGAGACATTAGTTTTTTAAAAATAATGTCAGGACTGCCTACAAAATTAAATCGTGTAAGGGTGTCAAACAAAAATTTTCTTTCTGTAGTGTTTTTCTTACAAATCATGATGAAGTGTTGTTCATCTTCTAAAATACCACAAATATTACATAAACGTTCATCTACAGGTTTTGGCTTTGGCTTTAAATGACGACCAAGTTCTATATGTAACTTGTGGGAACTAAGCCTAAATCTACAAATTGCTTGCCTGTAATTTTTATTTTGGATATTTAAATAACTCTCTCTCAAAGACATTTTTGAATTTAACATAAGTTCTCAAGACAGGGTAATTTAATATATCTTTGTTCCATTGAGTTTTATAATTCTGATACAGTGTTTTTGTTATTGTCTTGATAAAAATATTGTCATCATCAATCTTTCAACGCCTGGGTACATTTACCTGAGATGCGGTATACTACATTGGGAGTTAGTGTAGGTGTCAAGTTCACTGTCATGGATGTTGTAACAGACACCTACATATAAAAATATCCAGAAACTAGACCAGATCTTTCTGAAAATATGAAAACTTCAGTTTGCTCAAATTTCATCACTCTTGTGTTTTACCTTACCTGACACGCGTTCAACTGTCACGCTTAATTTGGTACATGCCCTTTGAATATGTGGGCCTAACTATAGACCCTCTAATTCGTATCGAGACTGGATATTGTCTGTTCCACAACAGACTGAATGCTGCATCTTATGAATGCAAGACATTCAAGATGTAGAAGGGGAACTCTTGCAAAATACTTCGGATCATTTTTTAAAATTAAACCCAGATCATACCTACTGGTATTTTATCCCTAAACCAAACATTTAACACAGGGAATAGGCCATGCTCAGAACTATAACCAAGGCTTTACACACTTTAAAAAATAGTTCAGATTGAAAAGTAGGTTAAACCTGCTAAAGTATGTCAAATGGCAAATATATCATGAATAAGCGAAACCCATATGATACAGTGGGATAACTGAATGTGATCAACATTATAAAATCAATGCAAGAAACCAATATTTTCATTTTGTCTGATATTGTAAGATTTTGGCAAAAGTTATAATGCATCATAAGACCCATAAACCAGAGGAAGTGGTAACTCACACTGATACTTCTAAACATCAATTGCAACATACATGTGTATCATCTGAAACATTAAAATACATGTTGTACAAACTACAATGTACATACATATAACTCATTCATGAATCGGAATCATATGCTGTTAAACATGACATAGTTTAACATGAAAACGATCCCACCAAAACACAGCATAAGTAGGAGCCTGAGCCTATGTATGAAAATTAACCCCATTAAATGGATATAAGCATTATATCGGACAAATGGCAGTTTTTGCTTGCTGGATGTCCCGGCATGATTTTATTTTCGTTATGTGCCATAATTTATCATGAGGTTTGAGTATTAGCTTCACAATCAATATATCCATGAAATAAATGCCCATAGGTCTTGAAATCAATATTTCCGACCAAACAAACATATTCGTGTTAAGTTACTTTCAAATAAACACCCAGTGGGTATATTTCGAAGCTACACTACAGGATTACCTTACACATGATTGGACTAGAAAATACAAATATTGGCCAAGAAAAAAATCGAATGTTATTTAGGACTTTGAACGCAGTAAAAAGCACCCTTTGTCATTGTACCCTTTGCATTCGTTTGACTTCACTTCTTAAAAGAGAGCTTCATCTTCTAGTTTAACTAGACTCTGCACGCAGGGTATGTCATTGGGACCATCCAGGGCCTTAAGAGATATGATAAAATTGAAATATAAATTTTCTCCGAAACTTAAGTAAGTGAAAGTCAGTACAACTTTATTTTATAGTACAATGGCTATTTCAATTGCAGGGCAACAACATTCTTCAATCATGAATTTTATCATATCTTACAAGGCCCCAATTCTTAAATGAGCTCATTGCTTGCGATGTCAGCGGGAACTTGCTCGCGATATACAGGGCCTGGATAGTCACCGTGCTTTGTATTAACTCTGGTAGTAAGCTGGATAAAGGACATATTAAGCACTTAGTCCAAAACGAAATTTGAATTGTACACCATTTATTTTTCTTATCACACATATTTTATTTTACATATCTGAAATGAGCAATTTTATATTTAATACATTCAACATAATGTACAGACTACAGAGTGGGCCAAAAAGCATCCATATTTTTGGCCTATCCTTTACATGTATTTGTGACTCTTCATTTAATATTCATCCCTAGATCAGTGGCAACATTTAAGTAGTTCACCTCTTTCATAAAATATTGGAAACTTTTAGGGAAATGTAATTTCAAACTTTAAATCTTAAAATATGTATACCAATACATGCAAATATCTAAGTACAAAATAAGATTACCTATTTAATTAATTACTGGTAAATTATCATCATGGCCATTTCACAAAAAAAATTCATAATGTGATCTACCTTAACCAATCAGATAGCATGGAAGGATGATGGTAATGTTTATTATTGACACTTACATGACAAGATGCCACCACCTGGGAGCAGACATTATGAAAGAGTGAACCCCTATGTAAGTGTGCATGCAAGTCACTTAATTTGTTGTCATGGTAACCAATATAGTATTACCTATAAACATGTCTTATAAGTAACATGCTTTTACTCGATCTGACCATGAATGCCTTCCCAAATTTTCATTACTAGTATGTAACAGATTT